AGATATCCCATAGATAGAGCTCGTCGAGCTGCATCTGGAACGCTAGTTGGAACGGTTGGAACGGACTCCTGGGCGAATCGCTGATGGAAGGACTCGAATCCGCTGCCAACTTCACTTACGTGTGCTACTTGACTCCTGTCAACGACGATTCTTCCTATATCAATACACATAAATAGACGAACAGATTTGGCAGGCTGACAGATGAGAAGCTATGCCATACTCGACAGCTTGCTGAGGTCATTCTTCCTCTACCCATGCACACAAATATAAGAATACATTCAGGTGGCTGACAGTTTGAATGCTGTGTTATACTCGACTTCTGTCTACGACGATTCTTCCTATATCAATCGGCATAAATATATGAATACATTCAGGGGCCTGATAGTTCGAATGATGTATGATACTCGACTGATCGCTTCGATCTGTGTTCTTCCACCAAAGGACACAAATATAAAAATACATTCAGGTGGCTGAGAGTTCGAATCCTGTGTGATATTCGACTGCTGTCTACAACGATTCTTCCTCTACCAATGGACATAAATATACGAATTCGTTCAGTTGCCTGAGAGTTCAGATACCCTGTGATACTTCACTGCTCTCTGTGGACATTCTTTCTCTACCAACAGACAGAAATATACGAATATATTCAGGAGCCTGATAGTTCGAAATCTGTGTGATACTTCACTGCCCCTTGAGGTCTTCGTTCCGCTACCGAGGGATACAAATATAAAAATACATTCAGTCGCCTGACAGTTCGAATTCCGGGTGATACTCGACTGCTGTCTACAACGATTCTTCATCTACCAATGGATATAAATAAACGAATACGTTCAGTTGCCTGAGAGTTCAAATGCCGTGTGATACTTCACTGCTCTCTGTGGACATTCTTTCTCTACCAACGGACAGAAATAGACGAATACATTCAGGAGCCGGACGATTCGAATGCTATGCGGTACTGCGATGCTCTCTCAGATCATTGTTCCTTCGTGAAAGCAGAGAAATAGACGAATACATTGAGCCGCCTGACAGTTCGATTTGTATGCCGCACTGCGATGCTCTCTAAGATCATGGTTCTTTCATGGATGCAGATAAATAGACGAATACACTCAGCTGCCTGACCGTTCGAACGCTGTGTAATACTCGACTGCTCTCTGAGATCATTGTTCCTTCGTGAAAGCAGATAAAGAGAGGAATACATTCAGACGCCTGACAGTTCGAATGCTATGCGGCACTGCGATCCTCTCTGAGATCATTGTTCCTTCATGAATGCAGACAAATAGACGAATACGTTCAGGAGCCGGACGATTCGAATGCTATGCGGTACTGCGATGCTCTATGAGATCATTGTTCCTTCATGAATGCAGACAAATATACGAATACATTCAGCAGCCTGACAGTTCGAATGTTATGTGGCAGTGCGATGCTCTCTGAGGTCGTTTTTCCTTTACGAACGGACAGAAATATACGAATACATTCAGCCGCCTGACAGTTCGAATGCTATGCGGTACTGCGATGCTCTCTCAGATCATTGTTCCTTCGTGAAAGCAGAGAAATATACGAAGACATTCAGCGGCCTGACAGTTCGAATGCTGTGTAATACTCGACTGCTCTCTGAGATCATTGTTCCCTCATGAAAGCAGACAAATATACGAAGACATTCAGCGGCCTGACAGTTCGAACGCTGTGTAATACTCGACTGCTCCATGAGATCACTGTTCCTTCATGAAAGCAGATAAACAGACGACTACATTCAGGAGCCTGACAGTTCGAACGCTGTGTAATACTCGACTGCTCTCTGAGATCACTGTTCCTTCATGAAAGCAGATAAACAGACGAATACATTCAGTCGCCTGAGAGTTCGAAAGCTATGCGGCACTGCGATGCTCTCTCAGATCATTGTTCCTTCGTGAAAGCAGAGAAATAGACGAATACATTGAGCCGCCTGGCAGTTCGAATTGTATGCCGCACTGCGATGCTCTCTCAGGTCATTGTTCCTTCGTGAAAGCAGATAAACAGAGGAATACATTCAGACGCCTGGCAGTTCGAATTGTATGCCGCACTGCGATGCTCTCTCAGGTCATTGTTCCTTCCCGAATGCAGTCATATATCCGAATACATTCAGTGGCCGGCCAGATCGAATGCTGTGTGATACTCGACTGCTCCATGAGATCATTGTTCTTTCATGAATGCAGATAAATATACGAATACATTCAGTCGCCTGAGAGTTCGAACGCTGTGTAATACTCGACTGCTCCACGAGATCATTGTTCCTTCATGAATACAGACAAATATACGAATACATTCAGTCGCCTGAGAGTTCGAATGCTAAGCGGCACTGCGATCCTCGCTGAAATCATTCTTCCTTCATGAATGCAGACAAGTATACGAATACATTCAGGGGCCTGACAGTTCGAATGCTAAGTGGCACTGCTATGCTGTCTGAGATCACTGTTCCTTCACGAATGCAGACAAATAGACGAATACATTCAGCGGCCTGACAGTTCGAATGCTGTGTAATACTCGACTGCTCTCTGAGATCATTGTTCCCTCATGAAAGCAGATAAATAGACGACTACATTCAGGAGCCTGACAGTTCGAACGCTGTGTAATACTCGACTGCTCTCTGAGATCATTGTCCCTTCATCAATGCAGAGAGATATCCGGATACATTCAGGAGCCAGATAGATCGAATGCTGTGTCATGTTCCAGTGCTCTCCGAGATCATTGCTCCTTTACGAATGCAGACGAATATACGAATACATTCAGACGGCTGACTGTTCGAGCGCTATGCGGCACTCCGATGCTCTCCGAGAGTAGTGTTCTGCAATGGTTGGGTGTGACTATATGAACAAGTGGGGCAGAATGATCGGTCAAATAGTGTGTGATTGTTTGCTTCGGTTACAAGAGACGATCTTTTTTGACGATCATTAGATATATACGCTTAGACTGAGGAGTGGTTCTGTGCATCGATAGTGTGATCGGTAAATTGAGGAGTTTATGGTTTGTAGGGAACAGGTGACTGTAGATAGAGAAGAGTAAGTTGAAGCCTGATAGTTCATTTAATGCGAAGTGTCGATCGTGAGCTTTTGTCATTTGCTCTCGTGAATGGAATGTGAAATTGTGAACTTTATGAAAAGATCGGTAGTTCGCGTTCGTGGGTGGTATGCAGCAAAATGTTGAGTGATAGTTATATTGCTGTGTATGTCGGAATAAGTGAACGGTTCGGGTCACTTGATGGGTCGCTTATGATGTGACAGTGAATGACAGTTACCGTGAAGATTGGAGTTTGTGAAGTATTGTAGGTGAATGAAGTATAAACGAGTTGCACGCAGTTCAAGAATAATGAAAGAATATTCAATAGTGGCATATGATAAGGTCTTATGATCGTGTAGAACGGAAATATGAACTGTATTGTAAGGAGGATTGTTCGGTAGACGCGATAGTGTTGGAAAGTAGTTGTCAGAAGTGCGGTATGGAATGGAGAAGATGATTGATGAAGTGTATTTGTTCAAAAAGTACGGGGCCGCAAGAGATGAATTAGGTGGGATATTTGTTGGTGGGGAAACGAAAAGCGAATAAACGAGAGAAATACACTGCTTGGGATGTGTTACAGTGCGGCTTAAGGTGTTGGCTATGAAAATGGTTGCTGTAACGATTTAACCGGGTCGAAGAACGTGTAGAGGTCCAACTTGTCTTGTTAGTTTTTGCTGGTGGCCAAACTGTGCTGAGCCTCTCAAGTGGTGAAGAAGAAAAAGTGACTACATTTTTTTAATTATTATTCACTTGTTCGATTGTGCGAAGAAATATAATCAAGAAAAAACTGTTAGAAATCCGATATTGACTTTTTTTGTATATAATCGTCGACCAAGCATGTGTTTTCAGTTTATATCTTCAAGCAGTTCTTCGACGGCGAGCTAATGAAGAAACTGACTCGTACTCTAGGACTGTGTTTTGTGTAGAATACAATTTTGGAAATCCAAAAATAATTGATCATCTCTTTATTTTACTGTTGAAGAAGCGGAAGATATCATCGGATGGTGATAAATAACAAGCTACAAAGTGTTGAAACGGTATGTGGTGCCATCTATACTGATCAGAAGCGTTGATTGTTGTTGATCAGTGGAGAAATTGTCGGAAATAATTATAATAAAAATGGAACAATTAGTTTTATTCACATAGATGACTTACGATAATCGATCTCCAAGTATTAACACATCAGAAATAAGGCAAAATGAATGGCCAATGGATGAATTTTGTTCACGTAGACGTGCGTCCATATTATTTATTTATGTTTATTTATTTTCCACATTATCACTAAAATTTCTTTCTTTTTGTGTTTTAAATGCTAAAAATAGTTTGATTTTAGATATATCGCTATCTGTTCCATTCTTGATGGTAATAAAGAACATTTTTCACCAGGATTTAATAGCTAACGATTCGTTTTTTTCCAACTTTGTTTATTTCCAGCAAAAGAATACCGATACAAGTCGTGGTAGTGTTGCCGGATTATCAATGGATAATCAAGAAAAATTACTCGCTGATGCTTTACAAAACGTGCGTCAACATGCCTTTGCAATGAAACGCGTACTCGATCAACAATCCGTCATGGAAGGACTTAAACATGCTGCTAACATGCTTGGCGAATTGCGTACATCTCTTCTTTCACCCAAAAATTACTATGAACTACGTATGAAAGATTGAGAAGAACTGTTCATCTTCATGTTATTTTCTGAATGATAGATGTTGTTGTCGTGGAAGAACTTCACCATCTTGAACTCTATCTGACGGACGAATTCGAACATGGACGTGGTAGCCACGATCTGTATGAAGTTGTACAATATGCAGGAAACATTGTTCCGCGATTGTGAGTAACTCTTCAATGTAATTTTCTTCCAACGATTTCGTACGTTTCAGATATTTGCTAATTACTATTGGTCACGTTTATATCCGAGCAAATGAATTGCCTCGTCGTGAAGTACTTCGTGATCTGGTGGAAATGTGCCGAGGTGTTCAACATCCATTACGCGGTTTATTTCTTCGTAATTACCTTTTGCAATGCGCGAAGAGTTTACTACCCGATACTGAAGAAGAAAATCAGTAAGATTGAAAATCTTCGTCCGACAATACATGTGTAGCGTTTCTGTAGAGAAGAAAATAAGTCAGGTACCATACTTGACTCGTTGGATTTCATTCTGCTGAATTTTTCGGAAATGAATAAACTTTGGGTACGAATGCAATATCAAGGGCATACACGGTAAACGGTGATAAGATTTGAGAATCAATCAAGTTTTGATTCATATTCAGAGATCTCCAACGACGTGAACAAGAACGTCGAGAATTACGTATTTTAGTTGGAACGAATTTAGTACGTTTAAGTGAACTTGAATGTGTGAATGTTGAACGCTATAAAACAGTAAGTTGAAAATCGAACGACGATATTCAATCTAAATGATCACTTCTACTCTTGTTTAGATTGTTCTTCCCAAAATCATGGAACAAGTTGTCAGCTGTCGCGATCCAATCGCCCAAGAATACCTAATGGAATGTATTATTCAAGTAAAGTTTCGCTTCGAATTAGTACCATAGTATGCTGAGATGTTTTGGTTTAGGTCTTTCCGGACGAATACCATCTAAACACTCTTAATGAATTTTTAAAAGGCTGCCGTGAATTGAGTCCGAATGTGAATATTCGTAATATTCTTATATCGTTAATTGATCGGTATGATGCACCTGTTATTGTGCACATTAATTCCTCGATGTTTCGTATGATTTCAGTCTAACCGCATATTCAACACGTGATCAACAAAATATTCCGGAAAGTATTCAATTATTCGACATATTCTCCGAACAAATCGCTGAAGTTATCAAAGTCAGTCAGATTGATGTTACGAAAAGAAAACAAGATATTTTGTCATATCTAGAGTCGTTCGAACATGCCGCCAGAAGATATTGTTGCACTGCAAAGTGCATTACTTAGCTTATCATTAAAATGCTATCGTGACCAGTTTGAATATGGAAATAAAGTGCTTGAAAAAACTAGACAATTGTTTGACAATATCGCTCTCGACACTCCGTAAGTTGTCTGAAACATCAAGATTTTCACTATTATCTTTTTGCAGAGTTCAAACAGGTACACAAGCTGCTAAAGAATTAGTTAAAATGCTCAAAATACCCATCGACTGTTACGACATTCTCGATGTCTTGAAATTAAATCACTATAAATTAGTTTTACAATTACTAAGTTATCGCGAACGACATACTGTCTGTATGTATATCACCAATAGTATTCTGGACAAAGAAACGATCATTCCTACTGCTGAACAAGTAACACAACTGTTTGATTTAATTGCAACATTGATTGTTGACCAAACCGATGGAAATTTTGAAGCTTCGCGTCAAACAATCAGCAACGAAGATTTCGTCGAAGAACAAAATCTTGTTGCACGTTTATTCAATAACTTCAAAGCAACAAATGATCCTGATCAACAGTACCATATTATCAAAATTTGCCAGGACACGTTCAAAAACGGCGGCTTAGAACGTATGCGCTTCACTTATCCACCTATAATCATGCGAGCTTACGCACTAGCATTCCAATACAAAGAAATTCGTGAACAAGTAAATGAATTTCGAGTATTAACTTCGAAATTTTCTCTGCTTTTTTTTAGGACGAAAAATGGGAAAAGAAATGCCAGAAATTATTTCAACTATGCAATCAATTGATAAACACATTAACGAAGTTAGAAACACACGATCTTCCATTACGTTTATATTTACAAGGTGCATTAGCAGCTAGTGAAATTCGTTCGGAAAATGCAGAAACGATCGCTTATGAATTCTTCTCACAGGTAAACTTTCATCCTTTGAAATCGTTCAGCTAATCATCCTATCCGATGTCCATTAGGCCTATACATTGTATGAAGAACAAGCCGGTGATACACGTGCCCAGTGTGCATCATTAACTTTATTGATCGGTACATTGGAAAAAGTGAGCTGTTTTGGCGAAGAGAATCATTCAACATTACGGCAATCATTGACTCAAGCCGCAACACGTTTACTGAAACGACCGGATCAAGTGCGCACATTACTTTTATGTACGCATCTCTTCTGGAGTGCGCAACGTGTTGATGAAGCAACGCAAAAGTCCGAGCAGGTAACCGAAAAGAGCAAAATTTCACTCTACAAATTTCACTGAATTGAATCTTTCTAGGTTCGCGACGGTGAAAAAGTTCTTGCTTGTTTAAAGAAGGCAACGAAATTAACAACGCAAGTGATGGACCATACTGCTCAAGTTCAACTATACAATGAATTACTCAATTCGTATATCTATTTCTTTAATCAAAACCATCCTGACGTAAACGAAGAACCGGAGTTTTCTTTTTTCCTCATTGCTTAGTTTTGATTTTCTCGGAATGTTTAGATCAACATCGAAGTGTTGAATTCGTTAATCGAAAAACTTCAAAGTGAAATGTTAAAACTCGATTCAACACCTTCGGCCAACAATACAACATCAACCGATAGTGAAGAGTTCATTCGCAACCAAATTCGCATTACTTTCGATCACCTTCGTCAACAATCACAAATCGAAAAATTCCAAGGTCTTCAAATAAATAATTGAGACACTAAACCGAACCAAATCATCAAGTCGAAATTTAGCACGCATTTAGTTTTTTCTTCTAATCATTGATTTCTTGTAATTAGCAATAGATTTTCGTGTTCATATATATCTAGTCATCATCGTAAGTTATCGAAAAGAAAAGAAAATATATTCTATCATTCCTTGTACGTGTGTATGTGTCCTCTTTCTTGTTTGTCGGTGATTTGTATATTGCAGTCTGTTTCATTTTTATCTAAAATCCGTTTTTTTTCCTCTCTTTCTTTCATACAATGTAATCTTCTGCTCGATATGATTCGCGACTTTTTGTTTATTTATTTTACAGATTGAAAGATATCTTTAACTTCAAAGAAAGATCATCATGACCGGTCGAAAGGCAGCGAAAACAACTGCAGCAGCACCAACTAAAACAACGACCACAGGAACAACAGCTGGCCGAGTGATTAAGAAAGACAAAACCAAAAATGTTATGCGANTTGCAGAGTTCAAACAGGTACACAAGCTGCTAAAGAATTAGTTAAAATGCTCAAAATACCCATCGACTGTTACGACATTCTCGATGTCTTGAAATTAAATCACTATAAATTAGTTTTACAACTACTAAGTTATCGCGAACGACATACTGTCTGTATGTATATTACCAATAGTATTCTGGACAAAGAAACGATCATTCCTACTGCTGAACAAGTAACGCAACTGTTTGATTTAATTGCAACATTGATTGTTGACCAAACCGATGGAAATTTTGAAGCTTCGCGACAAACAATCAGCAACGAAGATTTCGTCGAAGAACAAAATCTTGTCGCACGTTTATTCAATAACTTCAAAGCAACAAATGATCCTGATCAACAGTACCATATTATCAAAACTTGCCAGGACACATTCAAAAACGGCGGCTTAGAACGTATGCGCTTCACTTATCCACCTATAATCATGCGAGCTTACGCACTAGCATTCCAATACAAAGAAATTCGCGAACAAGTAAATGAATTTCGAGTATTAACTCCGAAATTTTCTCCGCTTTTGTTTTAGGACGAAAAATGGGAAAAGAAATGCCAGAAATTGTTTCAACTATGCAATCAATTGATAAACACATTAACGAAGTTAGAAACACACGATCTTCCATTACGTTTATATTTACAAGGTGCACTAGCAGCTAGTGAAATTCGTTCGGAAAATGCAGAAACGATCGCTTATGAATTCTTCTCACAGGTAAACGTTCATCTCTTGAAATCGTTCAGCTAGTTACCATATCCGATGTCCATTAGGCATATACATTGTATGAAGAACAAGCCGGTGATACACGTGCACAGTGTGCATCATTAACTCTGTTGATCGGTACATTGGAAAAAGTGAGCTGTTTTGGCGAAGAGAATCATTCAACATTACGGCAATCATTGACTCAAGCCGCAACACGTTTATTGAAACGACCGGATCAAGTGCGCACATTACTTTTATGTACGCATCTCTTCTGGAGTGCACAACGTGTTGATGAAGCAACGCAAACGTCCGAACAGGTAAGTGGACAGAGCAAAATTTCACTCTACAAATTTCACTAAATTGAATCTTTCCAGGTTCGTGACGGTGAAAAAGTTCTTGCTTGTTTAAAGAAAGCAACGAAATTAACAACGCAAGTGATGGATCATACTGCTCAAGTTCAACTATACAATGAATTACTCAATTCGTATATCTATTTCTTTAATCAAAACCATCCTGACGTAAACGAAGAACTGCAGTTTTCTTCTTTCCTCATTGTTTAGTTTTGATTTTTTCGGAATGTTTAGATCAACATCGAAGTGTTGAATTCATTAATCGAAAAACTTCAAAGTGAAATGTCAAAACTCGATTCGACGCCTTCAGCCAATAATACATCATCAACCGATAGTGAAGAGTTCATTCGCAACCAAATTCGTATTACTTTCGATCACCTTCGTCAACAATCGCAAATCGAAAAATTCCAAGGTCTTCAAATAAATAATTGAGACACTAAAACAAACCAAATCATCAAGTCGAAATTTAGCACGCATTTAGTTTTTTTCTTCTTCTAATCATTGATTTCTTGTAATTAGCAATAGATTTTTGTGTTCATATATATCTAGTCATCATCGTAAGCTATCGAAGAGAAAAGAAAATATATTCTATCATTCCTTGTTCGTGTGTATGCGTCCTTTTTCTTTTTTGTCGGTGATTTGTATATTGCAGTCTGTTTCACTTTTATCAAAAATTCGTTTTTTTCTCTCTTTCTTTCATACAATGTAATCTTCTGCTCGATATGATTCGCGACTTTTTGTTTATTTATTTTACAGATTGAAAGATATCTTTAACTTCAAAGAAAGATCATCATGACCGGTCGAAAGGCAGCGAAAACAACTGCAGCAGCACCAACTAAAACAACGACCACAGGAACAACAGCTGGCCGAGTGATTAAGAAAGACAAAAGCAAAAATGTTATGCGAGATTTACGTATCAGAAAATTGTGCTTGAACATTTGCGTCGGAGAATCTGGTGATCGTTTGACACGTGCCTCCAAAGTACTTGAACAGTTAACTGGTCAAACACCAGTCTTTTCTAAAGCGCGTTACACCGTTCGTTCGTTCGGTATTCGTCGTAATGAAAAAATCGGCGTTTTCTGTACTGTTCGTGGCGAAAAAGCCAAAGAAATCCTCGAGAAAGGTCTCAAAGTGAAAGAATACGAATTACACAAAGGCAACTTCAGCGCAATGGGAAATTTTGGCTTCGGTATTCAAGAACACATCGATTTAGGTATTAAATACGATCCATCTATCGGTATCTACGGTATGGACTTTTACGTTGTTCTCGGTCGTGCCGGTTTCGATATTGGTAAACGAAAACACAAGAAAGCCCGCATGGGAGCTTCACATAAGATATCCAAAGATGAAGCAATCAAATGGTTTCAACAAACCTACGAAGGTGTTATCCTTCCAGGTAAATTTGTTGCTTTTCTCACCGAGATTATGCACATTCTATCTTCTGTGTTTATGCAATTTTAGGTGGCAAACCGAAGAAGTCCAGTGGCGGTCATCACAAGCGTGGCAAAAAGAAATAAACATTTCTTGTTTTGATCATTGCTCGTTGCGTTTCCTTTGTTTTTGTCGAGCATTTGTTGTTCAGTCGATATACGAAAAAATAAACTATATAAGAAGATCCGATTAACAAGAAGCAAAAGAAAATCACTAGATTTTGTTTTTTTTTTCTAGATATGCTTTCGTCTTCTTACTGATCCAATACAGAATGAGTGGATTTCGTTATCAAAAGTGGGATCCGTTGTTGATCATCAGTCAGATTATTTCTATCCAAACGTTATACTATCTGGGACTTGGCTTTTGGGTATTGTTAATCACGGTTGTTGTTGATCGTAGCCCTTCACTTGACTATATGTTCTCCTATGAAGTATAGAAAGCACGATACATTAGCGTCAGTCCGTCATTCTCGACATTTCTTTTTCAGATATTCAAAACGTCGAATTGGAATAATCGATTGCTCAACAGTGTATTTTTCCTCAACGCTTTAACAAGGTAAACATAAAGAGAGACACACGAAGTACATTTACTGACGTTCTCCTTTGTTTTTCAGTGGATTTGCAATTGTCTACATAGTCGGACGATATAAGCAATGTTTGGATTTTTCGGTAACGATACATGTCTATCATTTTCTAGCATGTTGGGTGTATAATTCTCAATCTCCGCATCATTTTTCTTGGTATGTGACGCAATTTTTCTGCATCGTTATTATGACCATTCTTTCGGAGCATCTTTCGAAAAAATACGAACTTCGAAATATTCCCTTGGCATCACGTGTAGATCTTTAAATACATATATTTTTAAATATGCAGGCATTTGTACATCTATTTATTTGATATTTTAATCGGAAAGACGAGATATATAATAAGAAAACAGTTGTTCATAGACTTTCTTTTGTTTTCATTCAAGATATGACTTCGAAGCGTGTTTGCGTCTATTGCGCATCGAGTGACGCTTCTGATGAGAAATTTCTCCTAGCGGGTCGACAGTTAGGCGAAGGACTTGCTCGGCTAAACATGACGATCGTTTACGGCGGAGCACAATGCGGTGTAATGGGCGCAGTTGCAGATGGAGCACTGAGTGCGCAAGGAAAAGTTATCGGTTGGATACCCACATTTATGAAAACGGAAATACTCCATCCTGGTTTAACAGAAGTACACGAGGTGGAATCTATGCACATACGCAAACATGGTATGATGACGAATTCAGATGCACTTATTGCCTTACCCGGTGGACCTGGAACAATCGAAGAACTAATGGAAGCGATTACTTGGAGACGTTTGAAATTGATCGGTGTACCTATTTTTATTATTAATCTCGATGGATATTACAATCCACTATTAGAATTATTCGAAAATATGCGAAAAGCGTGTTTTATTGTTGAAGGTTCAGAGAAGGACTGGAATGTCGTAGATACTGTTGATGAAGTGATCGAAAAACTAAAATTGATGTTGTGAGGCACCGGTAATATCATAAGCAACACCCTTCTCAATGAAACGCATGATAACTTGTTCGCTTCTGCGCAACAATTTGACCGCTTAATCGACACATTCCCTTCGTGCACGCGTCCGGATAATTATAGCGTTTTGCTTTGTATTATTATTCTAGATATGACTGATTTACAAATAAATACGAAATTACCACTGCGTCGTAATCGACCTGGTACGAAAGCGGCCGAATGGTGCCATTGGCCAGAAGAAACATCCGAAAATATGGACTCACTCTATCATATTCAGCAAGTAAGAATCAACTTGCATCGATGCTCTGTTATTCGACTTGACTATTTAGTATATTCAACAATCAATTCGACGCAATCCATCAGATATTGATTTTATTCTTCAAGCGCCTGATCAACAAGATGAAGGTGTTTGGAAGTATGAACATCTACGACAATTTTGTCTGGAATTGAACGATTTAACGGTTCTTTTGCAAGTAAAACAAATCGAAAATTTCCTTTGATTTTCACTCTTGTTTATCCGTTGTAGAAAGAATGCTTACCTGAAACGTGTTCGCAAATGACCGCCACCGAACAATGGATATTCTTATGTGCTGCACATAAAAATCCCAAAGAAGTAAAGAAAGTTGTTTATGTGATGAAAGGCAATGGTGTTTTCTGTTCTAGTGTCCAGCAATTGACTATACTAGACATACACTCGATGGCGCTGCCTCGTTGTTAAACAGCAATAAGTATTTTCCAAGCCGGTAATAAAAAAATTGCTTTGATTTAATGAAGATAATCTTCTTTCCTCATAGAATCTCGATCAAAGAAACCTCGATTGCCAAGTTAGGTAGTGTTTGTCGTCGTATCTATCGAATATTTTCTCATGCTTACTATCATCATCGCACGCTCTATGATGAATTCGAGGATCGCACTCATCTCTGCCGTCGATTCACTGTCTTCGCTTTACGTTATGGTCTAATTCCTAAAGACAACTTAATTGTTCCCATCAATGGTGTTAATCAAGATGTGACGACCATAATGCAACAGCAGACATCACCAGTTAAGTCAGTTCCAGTTCAATCGATAAAAGACAATGATAGTCCACCCTCGCCTGTTATACCTTCAACGGCAGCAATCGAAAGCGATGCTTAATGGAATGAGAATAGACATAGTCACATCCTCGAATGTAATTTGTATGTATAAAACAATCATTCTTAATCGAAAATGCGCGCATTTCTTTATTTCGAAAAAAAAGACAAATGAATGTAAAAACTACTTTATCTTGTGTTTTACTTCCATTACAGAAAACGAGAACGGGATGAGCGAAGATAGGAGAATACATGTGTATAGAAATAAAAACGAGATTATGAATACTACTCATGTGAAAGAGATACTCTATATTTGTAATAAACGCTTCTGAAGATTGTTTAATTCTGTGCGAATATCTTCCGGTAAATTTGTGTTGACGTTTTCTTCGAAGTACTTATTCATTGCTTGACATTCATTCAACCAAAATTCTTTGGAAACTTCCAACAGAGCAGGATTTACCTCACCGCCACGGATGCCGTCCGAAGTTGCCTGGTCAGGCACTAAACCAATGGGTGTTTCTCGTGCTGATGCTTGGTTTGTTAAACGTCGAAATATCCAATCAATTACACGAATGTTTTCACCAAAACCTGGCCAAAGAAAACCGTTCGTTTCCGGATCTCGAAGAAACCAATTCACGTGATAAATTCGTGGCAACTGGAGTCCATCTTTCTTTCCAAACGACAGCCAATGAGCAAGATAACTTCCGAAGTTGTATCCAAAGAATGGACGCATTGCAAATGGATCGTGCATAATCTGTTTGCCTACGCAGAACAAGACAATGAAATGGATTTCATTAGTTCCTTTTCTTCTTTTTTTGTACCTTTAAACTCTGCGGCAGCGGTAGCTTCCGATCGCATGCTGGCACCCACGAAAACGCCGTGTTGCCAATCAAATGACTCATAGACTAATGGAACACCAGCCGGTCGACGTCCACCGAAAATAATACCTTCGATTGGTACACCCTGAGGATCATTCCACGCAGGATCAAGAATAGAACATTGTTTGATTGTTGTACAGAATCTAAGTCAAGGAAATGAAGTGAATATATGTTTTTCTGTGTCTGTGTGTGTTTCTTACCGACTATTTGGATGAGCAGCTGGCTCACCTAAATCCACTGACCATCGTTTATTTTTCCATGAAAGTATGGTTGGCTCATGAAGACCATCAAAATTTTCTCCATTGCCTTCCCAATAGACTTCTCCATCACTCGTTTCGGCAACATTTGTGAAAATCGTATTTTCATGTATCATATCTACCAAGACAAATAAGTTCTGTATCTACAGTCACAGGTCACATAATCTTTATTTACCTAACGCAATTGGATTTGTCGATTTACTAGTGCCAGGTGCGACGCCAAAGAAACCATACTCAGGATTAATGGCTCGCAGACGACCTTCTTCATCGAAATGCATCCAAGCAATGTCGTCTCCGATACATTCAACTTTATATCCTGGAATACCAACAGGCTGTAACATAGCCAAATTCGTTTTTCCACAAGCACTGAAAGTATCACAAATGATTATTCGTACTCTTTCTTTTACGATTGGTTTACCTTGGAAAAGCGGCGACAAAATATTTTTTTATACCTTCAGGATTCGTTACACCCATGATCTAATTAACAAACAAATTCGACCATTTATTCGTTCGTTCGTTCGTTCGAAAGTTCCATCACTTACCAACATGTGTTCGGCTAACCATCCTTCATTCTTGGCTAATGTACTTCCAATGCGCAATGCTAAGCATTTCTTTCCACACAGTGAATTTCCACCATAATTACTACCAAAACTGATAATTTCGTTTCTGTCGGGAAAATGCGTTATCAGTGTTTGCTCAGGATTACATGGCCACGTCGGGCATATTGGTTTATCTGTTGGTAATGGGACACCAACCGAATGAAGACATTTGACAATATCCGATCCATCTGAAGTCTTGATTTCTTTGAATACATTAGAGCTCATTCGCGTCATAATACGCATGGAAGCAACGACATATGGTGAATCACTTAATTCCACTGCAACTTTGGAATATGGACTTGAATATGGACCCATCATATATGGAATTACGTACATTGTCCGACCACGCATACAGCCATTGAAACGTTCTTCAAGAATCTCCAGCATTTCATCTGTGTCCATCCAATTGCCTAGCGGTGTTTGTTTTAAATTCTTTGGTAAATTTGGATCAGTTACAACTGGAAAACCAGAAGTCGGGGTGGAAATAATATCATTCATGTTTTTTGTGCATATCACTGTACGCGATTCTACACGAGCAACGTCACGTGGATCTGTTGTCGCAATATAACTAGAATAAAAACGGATGTTTACCTGAAGAATGATGTTGTCAACTTATTCTTACCAATTTTTGTACTTTGTTAAACGTCGGACAACTCCTGCTGCTTCCATGGCATCTAGCAGCTGTCGATTTTCCTGGTCACTTCCATCACATACATGGAAATTAGCCGGTTGACATAACTTTATTTTCTCTTCTACATAATCGCGAATCTTCGCAGGAAGACCATCGAGACAGTTATTCGCATTGGCAAAGACTTCCATTGTTTTATTCTTCTCAAAACGTTGAACTGAAATTGGAAAAACAAACAAATGATTATTGTATTTGTACATTTTAGATAGCTTGTTGTTTTGTTTCATTTTCTTTCTTCCACATCTTTGACTGCGAACAAAAACAACAATCTCATCATGCCACCACCACCAACAGCACTCAAGAAGAAAACTGGTACAAAAAATCCGCCTATCTTCAGTCAAGAATATCTCATTCAAAATCACGGTAAGAACAGAAAGAAAACAAAACACTTCTGCAGTGTCATATCTATTAATTGACGTAACGCTGTTTTTGTCCTCACCCTCAACTATTTTTAAACATCCAGGCAGCGAACAGAACATTAGAATAACATTCGATTCTATTTTAGGTGATATTGCCTGTGGTATCTTGATGATAGTTGCCCTGGGCACAGTAGTGCATGCAACATCACCTTACTGTATGGCATTCTTTGGTCCGCGCCATAATGTCACAACCTTGGACTCATTAAATTCTTCACCAGCACCGCTCTTCAATTACGGTTATAAAGACCTAGCTATGCTCTTCTCTTATACACTCATCTGTATCACAGCCCATGCTATCTGGCAAGAGTATGTCCTGGATAAATTATATAAGAAGTTACATTTGTCGAAATCGAAGAATGCGAAGTTTTTCGAATCGGGTCAATTGATTCTCTTCTATGTCATCAGTGTTCTTTGGGGAGTGATGCTGTTCAATGAAGAAGCTTACTTTAAATCTGGCCTCGAATATCTCTGGCGTGACTATCCTTACACAGGCATGACAACATGGACAAAGCTTTATTTTATCGTTCAATTGTCCTACTGGTTACATAACTTCCCTGAACTATACTTACAAAAGGTTCGCAAAGAAGATATCCCTGCTCGCATTGTGTACACAAGTCTCTATTTAATCACAATTCTCTACGCTTATTTGACACGTTTCTGGCGTATCTCGCTGGTTTTACTCACAATTCATTATACAATCGAAATCTGCTATCACGCTTCACGTCTCGCTCATTTCTACGCGACAACTAAAACCGGTCCGACACCAGCTCGATCAATCTCCACTTATTTATTCAAAATCTGGAATGTTATCTTCGTTATCGGTCGTCTTGCGTCAGTTGTTTTAGCCTGGTTAACATTTTGGTTCGGTTTAAAAACCACCTCGATCAACAAAATTACATTTACAACAGCCCCGGTGACAAATTCAAACGATAACAATGGAACAATCAACGAGTCGGTCATTATCTCAAACTTCAACACACCAACTGTTCGTCTATTTACACTTGTTGCTACCGGTGTTCTACAATTTTGGCTTGTTTGGAATTTTATTCAAGTAAGAAAATCTTCATGTTTTCCTACAAAACATTCACGATTGTCTTTAGTTTCATATGCGTCGTCGGCGTGAACAACGTAGTGCACGTCCAACAACAATGACTTCACCGAAAGTCTCTAATAAACTCAAACAAAAACAACAAGGTCTAACAAATGGTAAATCCGACAATGAGGAAACAGTTGATCAATCTGTTTTTGCTACTAGCGGTCATAGCAATAAGAAAAGCAATTAGAATTTCATAGTAAAAATCTCTGAAACAAAACCAAAAAAGGAAGGAAGAAAATCTTTCCTGTCTACAACTCTATTTTATTGTTTTTGTTGTAACTGTCAACATGTTGTTACTCTTACTCTGATCATTATTATTATTATTATTATTATAACTGTTGTTGTTGTTTAGTTTTCTGTTTCTCTCTCACTCTCTCTCATTGTTTTTATTTAGGAAGGATAAAAACCTTCACTTCCGGTCATCCAAAAACTTGTTTTATGATCTTTATATGTATGCATGTGATTATCTATTCTTTTCTCTTTTATGTTATCATAAGCGCATTCTCCTACTTCTTCTTTTCTCTTTTGGGACAAAGTGAAAAAAACCAAAAACGAAATTAAGAATATATACGATTATGTTTGTTTTGCAAAAATTCCTACCTTATTGTTTTGATTTCGCGCGTTAGCAATTGATGAAAATACACAAGCTGACGTCCATATTTATACCGAGACACAGGGTGCAAAGTGTACGAGCGGAAAAAGAGAACAAAGGAGGTGTGTCGATATTTCTTCTGTATTGTACTTCGGACTTGGATTTTGATTGGTTAGATGGCAATGGGGGTGTGTCAGATGGTTTAATAATGTTGCACATATTCGTTCGTTGATATGAATGTACTGCAAAATATCGACATAGAAGCACGCACTGAAAAATCACTTCATCGAAAATATTTGCGTTCTGAGATTTTTCTTCTCACCGACTAATATTTGATTAAAACCGAAAATGGACGCAAAGGCCGAACCATCGAGTATTCTCTAGTCTATTTTTTACTTTTAGTCACCTGAGCATGTCACAAGTAATAAACATCGTAATTCATGTGCATCTGACTCATCAAAAAAGTTTCGTTTCTTTTTATGTAACATCAATCGTGTCATTGAATTGTTTTGCGATCGGAACAGATGTTTCTGTAATCGGTTATTAAATGTCGAAGGGTGGAGTACGAAGCGCAATTTCGCTTTCTGGAGTACTGTGCCATGTGTATTGTTTTTTTTCTCAAAAAAGTTTTAAATCGATTTCTTTTTTTTTCTATTGTTTTCCTTTGACTGAAAGTAAGAAAAACGAGGGCAACGCATTTTGATGAATGACACAGATAAGAAGGATAAATTATCACACGATAAGATTTTTAAAAAAATGCACTCTATCGGTCAATAATTGTTTCAGATCATATTCATTAGTATGTCTTCCACACGGCGAATACGTGTTGGGCTAATCGGTTTTGGCGTATCAGGCCGAGTATTTCATGCCCCGTTTGTGCATACTATGTCGAATATGTATGAATTGCGAAGTGTGGTAGAACGACATGCAAATGAAGCAGAAAAAATTTATCCGTATATAAAAACAGTTCGTTCGACAACGGAATTGTTTGATGATCCAGATATTGATCTAGTCATTATAACGGTATCAAATGATTTGCACTATTCTTTGAGTAAAGAAGCATTAGAAAAGGGCAAACATGTTGTTGTTGAAAAACCGATGACAATTCGAAGTTCCGAAGCATTGGAATTGATTGAATTAGCGAAGGAAAAACAATTGATCATTTGTCCTTATCAAAACCGTCGATACGATTCCGGTTATCGTACAATTAAGAAAATTATTGAAGAGAAACTGTTAGGTGATGAAATATTAGACTGCGAAATACATTTCGATCGTTATCGACCAGAATTAAAACCTGGCAATGTATGGCGCGAAAGAAATGAACCTGGTGCTGGTATATTCTATGACTTAGGTTCACATTTAATCGATCAAACATTGAGTTTATTCGGACAACCACAAACAATTACTGCTGATATACGAACACAACGACCAACAGCAAATATTGATGATTATTTCGATGTTCGACTTGATTATGGTCGTTTACGCGTGACACTAAAGTCTAGTATGCTTGTGCGAGAAATAGGCCCACGGTATGTTCTACATGGCCCACTGGGCTCTTTTATCAAACACGGTGATGATATTCAAGAAGGCGTGCTTCGAAATGGTGCGATGCCCTCAACTTTAAATGAAGAAAGCGATTGGGGAAAAGAGCCCGTCGAAGATTACGGTCTTCTCCATACAGAAATTAAAGATGGACGAATAATGAAAGAGAAATATCCAACAGTACGTGGGCATTATGGTCTTTTCTATGAGCAATTGTATGCAGCTATTGTTCTTGGAAAACAGTTAGAGATTCGACCGGAAGATGGATATAATGTTATACGAATGATCGAACTGGGCTATCAAAGTAGCCAAGAGAAGAGAACAGTGCCATGTGATCGACTTTTATAGATCAATATTTCAAATAAAGATACATTTGAATTAAAATAGTTTATTTAGAAAGAAAATCGTCTCATGAAACGTTTATTCATAGTTAAGATAGATTGATTTTTCTTTCTTGTTCTCTTCACACGTAACATTTTCATTAATATCGTGAATGGTCGACAATATACCAATCACAAGCATACACGTCTCTCTGACTGGCTGAAATTCATTTCAAAATTACGAAAAACAATATTCACGGATAGAGTATCGGTATTCAATCTCTGAATGCATAAGTTAAATTGAAAACGTCGATTCCATTAATTGTTGATACAATGCTCCGCGACAGTCTAATGACGTTTCGAGTTCTACCGATTTATTACTCAAATTACTTTCTATTCACCAAAGAGTGTTTTACTATAACGGAACTACTTGTAAAGTTTTCTCTTCTCCTAGTCAAAACACTTCCAGAAATTTGTCATTATGTCAATACGAAAGTACTTATGTTCTCTTGCACATACGTTAAAAGATTAATACTGATAGATTATTTCTGTTTTTTTCCCTTTAATGTGCAAAAATCCCATACCTATTGTGGAGGCACATGCTCAATATGCTGTGACTGATTGATTTACTGTGTAGGAAAAAGGCACGCCGCTTTTTTTTCTTAAGTATTTGATATTAAAAACTACAATCACTATATTCGTGATTGTAAAAATTATCATTTTAATGTGAAAGCAGACAAATCATCGTTTTTCGCGTATTATTGATCAAAGTATCATACGATTTATTTCAATCAAGGTTGCGTTGGCGTGCTATCTGTCAGATGAATAAGCATCTGATACAGAATCATTTACAAACTTCTCCTGACTTTGTTTTCTTTCTTGCTCTTAAACATATAAAAACAATGTATTCCACGAATAATCCGACAATATAAACATCTGCTAATCAGGATGTCTGAGTCACTTAACTAGAGACTGCTTCAATCTATTCTTACATCATACATCTGATTCATCAAGTCGAACGAAGACATATTTACAGTATGACATACGTACGATTTGGTCACATACACACGACAGGTTTATTGTCAATAGAGACGTACACTCACCATACAAACAATGCTGTAAGTATATAAAAGTAGATGGTAATACTATATTATATTATTTACGATATATGTTATATTTAGTTTGGAATATGATATACGTAGTACTTTTTGGATACTGTTCTTGCTCATCACCAAAGTGTTTTGCCGGCCGTTGATGCAAAGGATTGTAGTAGATCGTCACGAATGGGAGGTCCCGAGCGAGCCAGAATGGGAGGAAATCGTTAAGGAAGCAACTGCGGCACAGCAACGTGTTTTCAGATCATGTAGGACAACTAGTGAATGTCGTCAGATAGTTGCTGAATTTTCAGCTATTTTCGATCGTTATCCCAAATTCAAGCATTTCTATGAAACTCACAAAGTTGAAGTAGACGACATAGTTTCGTCTATATTCAAATGGGGTTAAGTCAATTTCCAACTTAGGTCAATTTATTTGTGCTATCATAAAAACTAAATGTTGGCATCGTAACCGCTGGCGAAATTCTATTTTTTTAAATAAATTAATTTGTTATAACTCAATTCACACAAAGACCTTTGTTATTTCATCGATAACAACAAAATGACATCACAGGCTTAGTTTTGTGATAAAATATTACGCAAGTATTCTCACGTAATTAAACGCAACAAAAAACAAATAGTGACGAGTGTCGATTTGATCCCAGCCCATAGCTGCCAACCTCATCTTGCGACGGCTCGACAGCTTAGTTGTAGTGCTTCAGTCTCAATACATTTGATTCGAACCGGGATCGCGGCTCATCGAATCTGTTTGAATGCGTTCTGCTATATGAGTTGTTTGAATTTTGACGTTGTGTAAGAATATTACGCAAGATGTGTAGTTCTACTGTGTAATCATCTTCCGATGCAGACGGTCAGTAAGATTTTGTAGCACCGATGGGATTATTTTGAAAGACTTTGCTACATGTAATAGATGGACGATGTAAAATATGAAAGACTCCTTTTCCGAAATTGGATAGTGAGATAGTTGAGCTGTATTGTGAATAAAACTATATTCTAATGAGATCAAAGACGATTGGTCTACTCGAAACATTGACATCTTCCTAGATGCTCTATATCCTATTGCGGTAAAATGACACCATGACATTTATGCCTACTCCCATTCCTACGCAAACAGCTTAGGCTTACACTATAATGGAGAAAATCGGTTAGTGTCTTTGTGATGTTAGTCCTTCATACTGAAAGGATTTCAATGAAGTGTTTTTTTTTCGTGTGAATGACCTTCAGATGTATATTCATCCTTACTCTGTTTTGTCATTTTCACTGCATCACATATGGCCAACACTTTTACACCGTATAACGCCTGCGCCTAGAACAGCACATGGATTTATATTTCAAAGAAACGATTTCAAGTAAGTGAAACGTTCACTCCACCTACATTCAATTATTACAAAATACAACCTCGCACTTTCTTTCAAATTAGATTCGTATCGCTCTTGTAGGCGTATGCGACATGCTTGGGCAAATCAATCGAAAGCATGAGCGAAAATGTCATGCTCCAGAAAAGTGAGCAGTGATTTCGAACTCATTTCTAAGAAGTTCGATCAAGGAAATGATAGCATAGTTCTTTGACGTAAGATATAACAAAACGTCATTAGGATATGGGTGTTTCAAGGGCCATGACTCACGATTCTTTTCGGCCGAATAGACATTGAAGGACGGATTACTTTGATATTTTTTACTATTTACTCACGATTTTTGTTTCGCGGAATAAGAATCGAGTCGTGTACATAGTGATAAAGAAAAACACTCCTTCATTCTATTGATTTCGGGCTTGACTTATATTGCACAATCACTCAGACGCATGACGCATTATTATTATTATTATTATAGACAAAAATCCCACACAGTACATGTTTCAAGCATAACCGTTAGTTATAAAATCATGGCTCGCACACAATATTGCATATATAAAAAACCGATTCTTACGGACGGATAGTTCTTCGTGCACTGTTCACCGCCACCAAACACTGCTGTGAGTAGATCAACAGAAGCGAACAACATAGTTTTTTATTTCTATTCACTTTATATTAGAATACCACATGCGTCTCATACTTTTGACTTTGATGTTACTCGCTGACATCGTGATCTCTCGCCCGTTGATGCAAAGAATTGTCATCGATGGTCATGAATGGGAAGTGCCTAACGAATCTGGATGGGAAGAGGTTCTATTAGAAGCTAATGCCGCTCGAGAACGAATCTTTAGATCGTGTACGACACTTGCGGAATGTCGTCAGGTCGTCGACGAACTTTATGCTGTTTTCAGCCGTCATCCAGTATCAAAGAAATACCTCGAAACCAACAAGGATGAAGTCGATGATATTCTCTCATCCATATTCAAATGGGGTTAGATAGACTCGATTTGGAGAGTACTACCGATATTTATTATTCTTTGTATGGCTAGTGCTCAGATATTTTCTATTTTATATATACGTCCGTGACATGATAGTGAAAAATTGTTGTGATCAGATAATCCGTGCGTTTCGTTCCGTTCTTGAGTTTTTAGTTAACCGCAGCTTGTTTCTATTGCGGATTTTTTCGTTTCTAACTAAAGAAATACTTCTCAAACTTCACCCAAGAACACGTCTCTTGCTGTTTATCAGCGTGCTGAAGTCATTGATCCTATCGACGCTGGCAAATTTTGCTTATGTTGATCTAAAGGCGATATTATGAAAGATATTCGTTAATTAAATTCAAATTCGTGACGGTTAATTTTTCACGGTTTTCTTAAAACACGCTGTAAAACCCTTTCGCACTGGGAACACTTCCTCGATTTGTAGGGAATCTCACCCAGCTTAATTGATTTTAGCAATCAAAATTAACATCATCATCATGCTTTTTGATGAGTAGAGAATAAAAATGAAATAAGGGAAGATCAAGGTGGAATATGAAAAGCTGATTTGAATCGACAGGTGTTAGAGCACCTGTCGGTAACCCGTGACTTTAATAATAAAAAAAAACAAACATCGAGAGTTGCAAAGCAAAGTCTGGAACTGTCAGAAAATGCAAACGTCTAGAACCATTTTTTCTAATAATAAAATAATCACATAAATGATCATCTAAAAAATCATGACTTATTTTGAAAAGAAAAGAGTATAACGGGAAAATAAATATTTGTTATGTAGAAAACAATTCAACACTCTCGTTCAGTCTTCTACTTTGGAAGTATAGAAATCAGTTTCTAGACAAATGAGCAACGTTTGTCGCAATAAAAAACAAATAGTGACGAGTGTCGATTTGATCCCAGCCCATAGCTGCCAACCTCATCTTGCGACGGCTTGACAGCTTAGTTGTAGTGCTTCAGTCTCAATACATTTGATTCGAACCGGGATCGCAGCTCATCGAATCTGTTTGAGTGTGTTCTGCTATATGAGTTGTTTGAATTTTGACGTTGTGTAAGAATATTACGCAAACCGTGCTTGAAATGGAGAAAAGGAGAATTAAAACTTACACGTGTAAGATTCAGAAATCTTATCTGGTCGCGTTAAAAATCTATCCGAGAATATACTTTACACGCTAAATTAAAGGCAACAGCTGATAATTTACCGGGTGTTTCCACTAAATTTTGTCGGAAATCACCCTTATTTGAAGCGTCAAATGCACCAGTTTTCGAAGGACCTAGCAGTCGTTGTCGACGGTCTCATTGTTTTTCTTTCGCCCTTTTTCAAAATCTTGCAGCGTCTATTTTATTCATTGGACTGTTTCAACAAAGAAAAAACGCTCTCCCTCATCAATATCAAAACAAAAAAAGTACTTTTTATCATTGGCAGTCCAATATGTGCTAAGTATTACGTCAACATGAATACACACTTTCGGTACTGACAGAGTTCAATGTGTTGTTTTCCACTAGTGTATCCAGAAAAGGACACTTCATCAAATTTTGATTTCTTATGTCTTGATAGAGATTGTATCAGTATAAAAGCTTATCATTGCCAACACTATTGATAAATGAACTCCTGAATTTCACTTTCTTGCAATTATATTATATCATATCGTTGTTCTTCTTACTTCTTAGGCATATTTTGGCTATTTTTAGAATAAGTCATTAACATAATGTCGAAATAATTCAAAGACGAATCTTTTGTTTATGTGTTCGACAGATACTTGATTTTAAAGCCCCGACGTAAATTAATGACAGACAGATACACTATCAAAATATGGTAGACAAAATGAAGGAATGTTTATGTTTTTCCCTCTCTCTTTCTCGGCTAATCAGAATTTAAAATCAATAAGTTCGCCTAAATGAAATTGATTGAGTACGGTATTCTGCTCGTACACTTTTCTTTCGTACTCCTTGACGGGAAAATTTCGGTCGAAAACTCTTTATGTGCTCGCTGAGAATCACAGCATATCGAACAAGAGAAATTCTAATCTATAGCTGAAACACTCGTCTCTCTCGCAGCGGTCAGATCTAGCTTCAAAACCGATGAGATTCTTCGCTGATCGCGTACAAATCAGATGTTGTTTACGCGACTATGATCAGCCACGTTTTTCTTTTCACTCATTCATGCATGTCATTCTCAAATCTAATCAATAATATGCACAGACGAAAAACGATTCGATACAGAAGAATAACGAGAGAATGAAAACACCTTTCGAAAACATCTGCATCTATTAGCGTTTCTTTTGAATCGAATCAAAATGGGAGGTTTTTGTCGATACAAAATAAATACTGTATGTCTTGTGATATGTATAAAAATATGCTTCAATACACACTGTATTTTTCCTCAAATGAAAGCTACACTAATACAATAAAAGCAAAACAGATGCACATAAACACGTATTTCATATCACAATCGGCATGGTATAACAGAAAAATATAGAGTACAATTTCGTAGTGTATCTCATTGAAAAAAAAACGACGGCCGGCGTCAAATATAAAATATATCTCATAGAAACATCAGGAGTAAGAGAACAAAAATGCAAATGCGTTAGTAGACTGGCCACCAAGCTGTGCCAAAACCGGATTTAGGTCCAAACTTGAAAGTATAGCGACCAGGATTTGGTTGCATGATTCCACTACTGTAGTAGTATCGTAATGCTCGAGCAACTTTATCGTATGTCATTTCTAAGAGAAAGAAAAGCGAACAAATGATGAAATTATTCGATTCAAAGATAAACGAACTTACTGTTATCGCTATTGCGTCCTTTCGCATGTCTCCATAGTTCAGCAATATCCTGAGGTTTGAGAAGTTTGAAAACGCCTTGTTTGCGATCGATAAATTGAATAACGTGTGAATATTCATCATTTTCTAATAGAATTCGAAGAAACTCGTAAAGATATGGACGGCGGTCTTTGCCTGTTGTTTGATCATGTACAAGAAAGTTTTTTTTCTGTTGACAGTTGACATACTTCGGCGAACTCGGTGATGAAGTACGACTTTGTTTAGGGTCATATGTACTCATCACTGATGTTGATAGAGGTACATTTGGAGGATGTGGTATGACACTCGAGTTTTCGCAAAGATAGGTATCGATGTCATCGGTGTGAGAAAATTGGCTCTGCATTGAATACTCGGTGTTATCTTGGAATGTTTCAGCGGCCTCAAAATCAGCCAACATTGGGTCGAACGGTAGAGCAAAGTATCGATGTCCTGTGCAAAAGGTGCTGACATCAGTGCCCACAGAGTTTACTAGAACATCGAGTGACTTGAAGAGTTGATCCTCATCAGTCAGCACTGATGGGAGGTAAGCATCGAAGACGCCAGCTGGTAGCGCGTGTGATTGTGATTTTGACATTGTAACGGGAGTAGACGACACGTAGTAAGTTCTTTTCTCTATGTGCTCGTTGTGTATCGACGGCTTTATATAGAGCGGCGCGGTTTGTGTTTTTTTTTCGTTTTCACTCGGTAGAAAAAGAACGAAAGAATCGAAGCAAATCAAGCAAAAGACAGATGCGTCATTTTATGACAATCTTTCTTTCATTTCGTCTCATAAAAAAATCGTAGCTTCAAAAGATACCATCGAGTTACACATGATTGATGCTTCTCGTTTTAGTATACTTATCATTATGACTAAGACAAAGTTGGGATATCCGCGAATTGCATGATATATAGAGAAACATTCATCAGAAATATTGCAATTACTTGTCGAAAAGGAAAAATCCCAAGATTGTACCTAGTTTTTGTATGACTAATGTTAGTAATGTCACAGACGGACACAGCCCAAAGATAAGTTTTTTGTTCAAGTGGATCAAATTTCATCGACGTGTTTTTTTTCTAGCTAGTGTTGACGATGAATCATTTCAATGACCTTTTCTTTATCAGGTATATAAAATGCTGGAAGCAATTCGTTTCTGTTCTTCGCGTGTCTTGATCTCGTGACTCAAGAAACGAAATTTTTTCTCTTTTGTTTGCTGATATAGTTAACAACTCGTAAATCATGTAAAATTTCAAAAATCACGAAAAACTCAAAAGAAAACTTGCCTTCAAGCAAAAATGTGCAGGTACTCAAATCATCAAGGTGAGATTTTTTCGTTCTCCCCATCGACAGTGTTTGATAGAGAATCAACAATACATGACTGGTCGAATATTTCTGTGATATTGTCGATAGTTTGAGTCACTTGGAAAAAATCATACGTGTAGACCATACTGCATCTCTATTTTTAGTCATTTATTATTCATTTCAAGTCGTTCAAGTGATTGAAAGTTGGAGATTTCCAAAGGAAAACCCATTATACGATATGACAATATTGTTCGTATTTCACGATCCGTGACAAAACGAAGTTGGAAAAGAAAAATTATGAGAATTACTCATCGGTAGCAGCTGCAACGTCTGAAGTGTATTTTTATCCAAAAAACAATGGCGATTATTGCATATTCTCAAAAGCACCACAGGCAATCATGTTTAACAAAGCCTTTTTGTATGATATTTCAAAATAAATGTCTAACCTTTCATTCAAATGCGTCGAAACATATAATTTAGACTTTGCTTTGGCGACGACGGATATTCAAATCGACGAAACTCATGTTGGACTTATACAAATGATGTTGAAGAAATTGGTAGTACAAAAGTCTGCGATAATTTCGAGTGATTTTAGTTGAATAAAACTGAAATCGTTCGTCCAAATTTAGAAATGATGAGTCAAGATCTGGGTACAATTAGTTACCGACATAAAAAAATAATCACGACTGTGTACTAACAGAATTCGCCAATCTCGTTCCTGACTTTTCTGTAGGCACGATGAGGTTTTCATATCAATTTCCATATTTGCAGCCGATACCAGGAAAATTATTAACCTAAATCTGTATTTAATTCCTCCGGGGACACAAAAACATCACAAGTTTCTACAGAGTTTATCTAAAAGCAGTCCCTTCATACAAATTAGGCGCGATTGTCGTATCGTTGAAAAGTAGCACAGATCGGTTAACAGTATTCACTTGATTTTCTGTATGGCACTGAGAATTGATATTTATACATAATTCCTCGAATGCAAAAACTTCAAAGATGACCTTTCGTTTTTCTTTTCGCTAAGCCGATCGTGCCAAGAGATTCCATGCTCTGTACACTCATCTCACTCAAATAACATGTCGCTTGTACATCAATACATTATTATTGGTAGCAATTTTTCTGTTTAAAAGTATATATATTTATTCACACTTACTGAAATAAAAAATCCAAAAGAAAAAGAAGGAAAAACATTAGTCTACAACGGTAAGCTCTATAAAACAACTCGAACGTATGAAAACAACATATTGGCACATATCAGAATTCGGAATCCGCTGCTAAGGAAAAAGAAAACAAAAACATCAATCAGATTTCAAGAACGTCAAATCGACACTCACTGTTTTGCACACATGATTCGATTGGTTTCTCTTGTAATTCATTTAGTGATGGTAGAAGAGTTAAAAGCTACGAACGAAACACGCAAATAGTCAATTTATTAGCGGCCTAGAACTAAAATTACCTGTAACAAACTGCGAAATACGGCTCGCGCTTCACTCTGTGTTCGTGTTGTTAACATTTGTGTATATAGAGCATATAAATAGCAGCACTGAATGTGACGTACTGCCTCCTGATCATCGAGCGTTTCGTCTACAATCGAAATCGATGAAAATTTACTTCGCAAAAGCCAGTTCGCTTACCTTTTGTACAGATAATGACTGGGAATACTAGTGCATATTCTTCCTGTGTTAAATTGAGAGCATTGAATTTCTTGGCGAATGTGAACATAGCTTCAACCATATCTTCTCCAATGATCTTGATCATCCACTGGCGCGTATATTGCAAGCCATTAGGTAGCATAATATATGATTCATTTTGACAGTATAACGGGGCGTGTTTTATCTAAAGAGTAACGCAATCATTTCCTGAAACTTCCTGTCAGTGAATTGGTTCTTACCATCCAGAAGTCAAATAGACGGTTGTTCATTATTTTATGGAAATCGTCTTGATCAATTTCGTTAATTGCAGGCATCTGAAATAATAAATAGATTCATTCCTTTTATTCTTGATGAATTCTGATAGACACGAGAATCGTATCTGAGAACAGTACATACCTGTCGAGCAAATGTGATGAGATTTTTGACATGAAATGGAATGGCATCTAAAAATATCAATGTCATTTGGCACGAGTTCATTAGAATCTTTCATTATACCTGTCAATCCCGTTAAGACATCCTGAAGAGATGACTGATCACCGGGGAAAATGTTTGTCTAATTAAAAAATAAAGTAAATGTGATTTAGTTGAGAAGCGAAAGTTCGATTGGTCAGCTTACGTTGCTATTGATTAGAGTATTCATTCGGCTGATTAGTTGTCGTGTACAGCTATTGTGAGTATTGCTTAGTTCAATCATCTTTCGTCGTAGATATCGAATAAACGCCGAATTTTCATGGCCAAGATCGATGGATGTTATTGGCTGAGAAAGTTTCTCGACAAGGTCTTGAATACGTTGAAGAGCATCGTTAGCATATTGTGCATCATCATAACTTATATTATTCGAGTCATAGTAATTGGCTTCATCTAAGGTGAAATGGTCGTATGACGCACGTTGAGTCGATAGTCCTGAAGGGATAGATGATTTCTCTAGTATTAATTCGTCGAATTCTTCCAGCATCACTTGCTCGTCGATTAATTCCAATTCGACATCGGCAGACGCGAATGGATCGCAATTGGAATCTAATGATCGTACGTAGGGTGATGACGAGGCAGCTGATGAGCTTGGATCTTCGTTTTCAATACTCGATATGGATAACTGATATTCCGCTAAGGCTTTCTCTTTGACTAGTTTCGGGATTCGGCCCATTCGAACGCCTAGAAAAGAACTTGTGTCAACAATACACGAGATATCGAGTTTCACGTACCTTCAACGGACATGCCTTCGCTAAGGCATTTTCGGAATCGGCACGATTTACAACGATTACGATTATCAGTATTGATAATACATCCATCACCAAAATAACATCGATATTTTTCTTTCCGCAAGATGCTACGTTTGAAGAAGCCCTAAAAAAATAAGAAAAGCAGTCATGTTAGCCATTACGGTGAAAAAAACATTCGAAGTACTTTCAATGAGCTGTTTATCTTGAAACTGCTCAGGAGATCTTACAATAGGTCATTCTCCACTTCTCCCCCCTAATTCACAAAACGTGTACGCTTTGTATTTAGCTAAAACAGTTCAAGTATTAGTCAAGGTCATGTTGACCTGCAATCACTTATTGACAAAGTATTTTTGCAGCTATGGTAAATCCTATCATTATGAACAATTTACCTTACACCCTTCACAAGTTGGCACGCCATAATGAGCACCTGTTGCTTTATCCATACATACTCGACTATAAAAGTAAAACTTATTAAGAAAAACTAACAAATGCCAAGGATTTTACCATTGTCCAAATGGGAAGGGGCGTTTTTCTGCTGTAGATTGATGTTTTGTACCCGTAGATGATAGATTTTGTTCCACTAGTTTACTATTCATCGTCTCGTCCAAGGCTAATTTATTCGACGAGCGAACTCGGTAGGATCGTCGTTTGTCCATGGAATAGTCGTCACCATGAATAGAGTGCGAATCAGACGATGATCGGCTATTATTGCTATCGTTAGTTACTAAAAACGAATCAAATAAAACCTCGATCTCGCTATTCAATTATTTACCTTCGTTCATTAATCTGTACATTATTGTGATGTTGTTATACTTGCAGTTGGTTGTATTGACTTTTCAAAAAATACTCATCAATTGATAAGCGTTTATCTAAAGTAAAAGATAAGTGTAAGTAAGCACAATGAAATAAGTGATACGTTGATTGATATTCAGATACTTGACGTGTTTATATACACAGTCGAACATGAGAAAAGCCGAGTCAGGTAAAAAAAAAAAGCAATGAAGCACAAAATGTCTTTTGTCACACTCTCTTTTTTTGCATACGAAGTTAATCAATGAGTCGAATTACCTTCGTCGAAAGTTTGTTGTGCTCTTCAATTTGGTCACAAAAGCCTGGTCAAATCTATAAATGTCGTTCTTCTAAAATAAACAACTGTTCGTAAATCGATGACTATGAATGATATAGACGCGAAGATGAAAAGAACATTGTCATTGTGCCTTAGTGGAGTAATATTTTTTTGTATACGTCGATGTTGTTTTTACAGTGGAAGAAAGGCAAAAAAACGCAGCGATCTCTTCGAAGCGATAGCAATAACAGAAACAAGCAGAAAAAAGAAACTGCTTTCCTATTCATGTAATCGACGTCATCCGTCGACGAAGTCTTGGGCAAACAAAAACAGAGCAAAGAAAAGGAATAAAAAATGTAGGGCAACGATTGCCACCTCGTACGTCAGGAAAAACACATGACTTCAGAGGGAGTGGTTGCGTTGGTTATGCTGTTAAAACTTGCCTTGTTGTTAACCATTGGATGAATGAAATATCAAATTCTTTTTTTTTTGTATGTCAACGAAATAAGAATAGAGAAAAAAAGCGCAAGAGACGCATTCTCTTCTATTTAATAGAACAACAAAGGACGACCTTTTATCATTTATTTATTTATTTGAAATAGAAACAGCTGAATCTATTTTTACAATTGAGGAAAATGATGCGCAGTGAATTCGCCCACTTTATTGCCATCTTTATCGTAGTGACATGTCTTGAAGCACCGTTCACACAGTAAACATGGATCATCAGGTATTAGAGGCGAATTGCGTACCAACCATTTAGCGTAAAAAACGTTACAGAGAAAGCAGTAGGAAAATCTTCCGTGATACTTCATTCGACATAATGGATAAAGACTAGATAAAGAGAAAATTGAGAGAACATTTCATTGAACAGGACAGTCCTTTACCTGGAATCATGACACTGATCTTTTTCCAGTAATTTCAATTCACTGAAGACAATAACATGCTCACAATTGTTCTGGTGAAGATAAATGTAGGGTTTGCCAAGTTGAAGTCCTTTCAAGTCATTTAAACTTGTCATTTCCATTGTGTTCCCTTGAGTATAAGCAGAATCTGTTTGTTGAAGAATCTTTTCGCTCAAGCGTTCACTTGTTCGACGTAAATCATCGTAAATCACCGACTCGATGATGAAACAAGCAGCAGTGTTTACATCGCTGGCACGTTGGCCGATAGTTTTGATTTCTTCGGGATTTTGTGAATACTCTCCGAGAATTTGCTCGTCACTAACACATTCGATAGTATCGCGAATCTGCGCCAAAGTCAGTGTCGATAAACAGATTAATTCGTTCATTAATTGATGGCGATAACGATCACGAGATTCGATTGGGAAAAAGATTTGTAAATTTAAAACTAATCGATCATCGTGGAAATTCGCTGGTGCTTGATTACATTCGCGAATGTTTTTTAAAAATGCGGTGTCATGTGCTGCGTGTGGACGTGATTGACTGAACTCACGATAAAGATATTCAATACAAGCGGGATAGAATTTTAAGTTATTGACGATAGCTGGGTCCAATTTCTTTTTCTTTCGTCGCGTACGCCACGTACTTGTCGTGGCTTCATCCTCTTCGAGAACCTCGTTCGTCTCGTCATCTCCACGCGTCAGTTCGTCCTGTTGTTCAAGGTGACGATAGTCGCTCAGTGTTTTCGATACATTCATCAACGTATCAAGGTGATCTTGATCACTAGAATACGATGACTTTAACGCATTCAGACGTTCCTTGACATTTTGCGCATCGGCAAGAAATTTCGTCAGATCGATTGGCGACGATATAAATTCACGCAGGCGATCGTTATCATTTGACATTATCTAAAATAGATATGGCCACATATTTAATAAATAAACGACATGTATATGTATATATATACAATCAATCAAGCAATAAATAAATAAACACGCCGAGTGATAACTATCAAGATTCAATTGGTTTTTAACTATTCAATAGAAGATAAATCATGCGTGACGAATGTTTTGCTAGTTTTATTTCTTCGCGACAGTTAATGATTACGCACCTAAGGGAAGTACAGAAAACAGGCATTTGAAAGTGTACGTTGACCGGAGTGTTCGATCATTGATTTCGTACTGATCAACCATAGATTGTTTAACAAAAATACACCTAGGTCATGAAAGTAGAACGTAGTAGCAAAGAAAACTATTTATTCTCTGATGTCGATTGATATCTTAAGATCGCATGTCTTGTCATTTATTAGAGTTTCGGGATTGAGTATCTCTGAGTACTTAATATTTGATTGTTTGCATGGAAACGAACACCTACGTCTATTGTTAAGAAGCAAAAATACCTTATAGAACGAAGATTATCATTTGGCCGTAAAGTACTTTTCTCATCGAAACAGATATTCATTATGTATATGTTTTCTTTTGTACACAAATATTGTCTTTCATATGTATATATATAATGTGTAACTTTTTCGTAAGAATAAACAACAAAATGAAAGATACACAAAAGAAAGTAGAAGATATCAATACAGAAGAGAGACATAGGTTTATTTGTTTTGTGGAAAGAATAACCAAGAAGAAGAAGAAGACGAAGGAAAATGAAAAAAAGATCCGCTGTTCTAGAATTAGTAAACCCAACAAAAAAGAATGATGTTGATACATTTCTTCTTATCTGACAGATAGAAAAATACCGAATTATATCGAACAAGCTCGCACGTTAAGAATCAAACATTTATTGTGCATGCGAATGCACAGGTGGGAGAAAGATGAACAGATATTCTATAAAAGTTTATCATCTTCTCGTTCTTTCATGTGTTGTTGACACCGGAGTAGTCTAAATGATGGAAAAACTCGGTCATTTCGTAAAAATCAAGTGATATGCTCGTTACCTTTGTGTTAAAATACTTCGTTTTATCTCTAATATGCGAAAGTTCGACTTTAATGCTTTAAGTTCAATAAATCCTGTGGACATTTTAGCACTATAACCATAATAATCATCGAAAAGTTTTAGACACTAAATCAAAAACAACGGATAGATGAAGCTATTTGAAGACAACTCTTCTACCTGTTTCTCTAATTGATTTGATGGCCAATCAGTTAAATGTTGAATTAAATCACTTCGATAATATTTTTGAATTTCTTGATCACGCTCAGCTTTTGACACGGAAGGAGTAGAGGGTTCACTTTCCGAACTAAATATAAAATTATCTTAATTTCGAAGAAGAAAAGTCATTGATTTACGTTTGATCTGTTCTTGTCGTTGAGAGAGGATTTGAACGAGTCGTGGCAATTTTTGTATCAGTTCCTAAACATAATTCTTGTATTTATGAGATAAACGAACAAAGAAAGACTTCCTACCATTCAAAGGAATAGAATCTTTCTCAAGAGGTTTATTTGGTACATCGGGTATGGGAGTGGTGACTTGAACAGCTAAACGAAATGATGAACAAATCATTCATGAAATGTGTGTTGTTACCAGGTTCAGACAGGGATGAATGTAGTGTATTACCATTTCGATCAGAGACTGCTATAGTTGGGGAATCTCTACTATTCGTCGGCGAAAGTGACATTCGAGAGTTTTCATCGTCTACGAAATCAACATTCAATGTAATTGAGATCAATGCTTTTGATTTACTTGAACTAGGATGACGATTGTTCGACGACGTGTTTAGATTTTCATTGGATTGGAACGAATCTTGATTTAAATTATTTGTAGAATGAGAATGTTGATCACCGTTATGATGAGCTTTTATAGTCGAACGAGAGTTTTGAAATGACTCTTCCATCTTATGTCGAGAACGAACTGTTGAAGAGTTTGTGACATGACTTGATTCTGAATGAAAAGAGAAACTTTTCGACAACATTTTAAAAGCTTGGTGATATCCAAACCTTTTTTTGTTCGATCATTAGAATTCGATGTGGAACTTGAACGTATCGAGGATGATGTGCTTCTAAATGAATAGATATACGAAATCGAACGAGAAATGGCTAATATCACTTACTCATCTGTTGACCATGCTTTTGGTCTTTCCCACTGAGAGATCTCAGTTTTGGAATTATAGAAATAAGTTTTGCCTGAAATAGATATAGGAAATCTTTCTTCTAATGCATCTACGTTCTTTCCTTACCTTTCGAACTTTTGAATTCGGACCAATCACCACAAATACGAAGCGGTTTTTTCGCCTAACTCAGAATTACAAAAATACAGACATAGTGAAGCAAATCTATGCATACATCTTTGACGGTCTTTTTATCTTTGTCACCATTTTGACGTTGCTGTTGAGAGGACGACGACGATGACACCGTTCGATTGTTTGACGAGGCTATACAAAACAAAAACCTATTCAAATGTGAAAACGTTCCTATTAGACATGATTTACACTGTGTTCGAATGTATTTTCGATTACTGGATGAATCATCGTTACATCCATGTGTTTGTGAATTCCACTCTCGTTTTGATGACTAGAAAGATCAAAACATTGAAGTTTCTACAACTAGTTCCGTGCACGATCTATCGACTAACCGAACAGCCGCTTCCATCTTTTCGGCTTTCATACAACCTAAAACGACGCAATGGATTGAATTCAGAATATTTGAATCGAAAAACAAGTCGCACCCATCCGTTGATCTATGTTTGCTACCATACATCGCCGATACTCAACAGCAAGTGCATTTGGATCGTGGCAAAACTGACTGGCACACGAAACAAATAAGCACAAACGAATATGGTAACTAGAAATACAATAAAATATTCAGTTAGTACGAATAGATAGTTGTAGTTTTTACTCGACGTTGAATCAACAATGGAAATTTAAACTAAATCAGACAAAACTACATCAGAATGTGAGAGAAATTCATTCGATTTTTTTACCTAATAGAAAAATAAACTTTAGAAACTAGTAGGAAATTTTTGCCTTATCATATTCTTTGGACTATCTTTTTTGTGGGCACAAATATATCAAATCTGAAAAGATGAGAGCAAAACGTTCGTATATATGTTATCATTCGAGAGAAAAACTTGGAAATTTTCCTTAACATATGCAATTCGCGACATTGACAAAAAAAAAGAAAAGAAACTTATCGTCTTTCATTATTGAATCACTTGCTTGCTTGTTTATAAATGAAGAAATAAGAACGTTCTAACACATTTATGCACTTACAATCAATGTAGAGGGTGATGTTAATGCAACGGGAAAAGGGAAACATGGCATTCGATGTGACATTCATTCGTGTTGAGATCGTTTAACCTAAGACTAACCTTTGAGGAAGACATAGCTTTCATTGTACCTGCTTCTAGTTCAAGTTCAGTCGTAGACACACCTCTAAATCTGATCTATGAGGCTAAAACACCCACCCTCAAGATGGCTGAGTCTTCCTCGCGACGATTCCTTTTCATAGAAAATAGTTATTTGGATGTCGGAACTGTCTTGTGGGACATTCATTGATCTAGCTGATGTTGTACCTATTCAGCAACAGGATGTTGTCAATCGGGTCCCGATGACTTTAGATAAGTTAGAGCAATGTCATCATAAATAAAGACGCTGACACTAATCTGTTGAGTCGACGATATAAAACCGAGATCTTATATTGATTGACAGGTCACAACGATTTTATGACTCTCTTCTAATGTACTTTTCTAGTTTTCTGTCATCACATTGACATTCTTATTAGTAAATCGTTCGGAGGTGTATCTTACTGATGTAACAGAAGGCAATGTGTTACAACAGACGATCGTATAATCGCTCGCTTAGATCTATGCTCTGTTTGTATACATCGTTAGAAACCAGAAGATTGTCTGGAAGATTAAACCTTTCTACAGCTTAATGAAATGCTTCATACTAATCATTAGGCATGCATAGGCCATCGATTTCGTTTCTAAACATCTGATTCCTTTTCGTTCGGCGAATACTTTTAAATGATCATAAACATTTTCAAGTACTAATTGTGTTGCAGCCGACATAAACAGCATTAATGGAAAATAAGCAAGAGGTAAGTGTTACTTGAAAGAGAAAGGTAGAAACAATGATGGATTATATGATCATTTATTGATTGCCAACGTTTACTTTCTCATCAAAAAAACATCAGAAGAAAATCTTCATGACGTCAACGTATTTATCTGACTAGACTAGTGAGCTAGATATATACATATTCTCCTCTTTAACGACATGATGTTTCTTCTATTCACGATTGATCGCCTGTCAACAAACAACGATAGGCAAATGATGAGTACGCAATGTAATCGAGCGAATAACGAATGAACTTGAACGATAATCACTGGCGCATTCCAGTGAAACGATATATGTCTCATCAGTCACATAATCAAAGCCTTCTGATTAAACATAAGTGATGAGCATTGATCTTATCGCACATGATCAATTTAGCTCGAAGATTTTCGAATCTACATTGCTCACATGCAAGGCCTATATGTTCCTTCTATTCCTAAACATGAAACTCAGCCAAAGACGAACAGCGAAACAACATCAACAACAGGACAAAGAGCGTTTTGCCCTTTTAATTGACTGACAATGTAAACAATATTCTGTATGTACTTATTTCGTCTGTTTAGAGAGAAAACAATACATTTCTGGATGGTGTAGTCTTTCGGAAGAATGTATAGCTATTATTCTTAATTGAATTGACAATAAGGCGTTGTCAATATAACAGACAAAGAAGAAGAAAAATCACATTAGCCAATATTTGACACGAGTGATTATATATCTATCTATATGTGTATCTATACAGTTTTCTGACATATATATAAATACATATATATGTTTCGTTTATTCCTCATCTCATGAATGAACTAAAGCACCATGAACATAAAAAAAACGAAAAAACAAGACCCTTCTAAAAGAAGAGAAAGAAAGAAACATACTGTTTACACAAAAAAAACGAAGTAGAAGAAGAATGGCTGATGATTTCTCCTAGCATAGGGAAAAAAAAGAGGAAGACACAAGAAATTAGTTGCAAAGTAGTGGCAGACCACTATTGCTATCCTGTTGTATCCGATGTAGTTCCTTCACAGCTACATCGACAAGAAGTTGAAAACCGGCTAGATCACCAGTAGAACTACTATTCGTCGTCGTCGTTGTTATTAATGAATCATTTGGACAAGCGAGACGTGTTTGTTGTTCACTTGATATTAAATTGATAACAGCTGGATCACGTATAGGTTTTAGTAGAACATGATGCCTCGTTGTATAACAAGGTTCGATGGATGATGAGGATGATGATGATGATGATGATGACGATTGTTTATTTAGAACACTTGAATTATTTGTTAATATTAACGATGGTGAGGAACTTCGTTCGACAAGAAGATTAATATCTGCTGCTGCTGACGATATTTCATTTGATGTATTTTCTCCACTAGTCGAACACATTGCCGACAACGAGGGTGATGAACGTTTTTGATCACGTGAAAAACGCCTTGATATGGTAAATTTTTTCGGATCGGTTCCTTCTTTTTTCAGTAAGTCAGGTAGAATTCGTCGACGAGCATTTATGAACCAATTACAAACTTGATTGATAGATAGATCAGCACGATGAGATAGATTGGCTTTTTCATCGTCCGTTGGGTAGGCATTGTAACGATGTTCATAGAGCCAATTTTTCAATATACGAACCTGGAATGAAGAGAAAAAAAAACGAACGGTTTCATATAACATCGAACAACTGCTGTCATTTTTCTTTCGAATGTGCGTTATCTTACACTATCTTTAGGTAGATTAGCTCGTCGTTTTTTCAGTTTCGATGAATTTGTTATTGATGACGATGATGAACTATCAAGATCACAATCCGAATCTGTTTGTTCAAGAATTTGACTTCGTTGTTTTTGTTGTATTAGGAGAGATGAACGGTGTGGAGTAACAATAACTTCGGATGAATGATGGTAGATAGATGAAGGATAGAGATCTTGATGGTGATGGTGGTGGTGGTGATTATGATGATTGCTATAGTTAATTGTAGTTGCCGTTGTTGTGGAGGATGACGATGACGAAGATGAAGAGGATGGAGAAAGTAGATTTGTCATTGTTTGATAATGTGGAGAATCGTATGAATGATCAATCATTGAGTTTTCTAGAAGAGAAAAGAGGTATTGTCATCATTTAATCGTCATATCAATGAAACGTCAGGTGCAATAGATGAAATAGAAGGGATAGAAAGAAAATGTCTCTCTTATCTTCTACTATCTGAGAAATGCATACTGAGCGTGCGTGTCGTCGCTTCGCTTCTTTCTTATAACGTTTTCATTTCAAGTCATAGTCGGGAATCAAATACAGATGGCTTAAGTCAGGACTAGAATACGTTTCATAATTACCACATGATTGTTTTGTAATAGAAAGAGAAGAAAAAACGACGAAGATTGTTAGGAATAAGAGACTATTTTCAGTAAGATGAAAAGAAAAAAAACTCAGCTGATAAAAAAACGAATCTTGCAATGAAATGAAGATAAATTGAGACACTCTTATCGAGCTCGTGTTGAAAAACACATGTCAACTTCGACGAACTTATTTTACTATATATCTTCGTCGGACTTTTACAATGATAATGGACATGAGGAGAAAATCTAAACTGACTCGACTGTCATTAAACTATCATTTCTTCTTCTGCTTTATTGTTATTGTTCTCACACACGCATACACACGTTCCCTTCTTCATATAATCGAAAAAGAAAAAGAGATAAGATATGCGACATCACCTTATTCAACAGTAACATGATTAATTTGATTCGTATGATACTGATCGGATGAGAAAATGAATAGGACGAAAACGAGTATTTTTCGTTGCGTACTCATTGATCACGTACATTCACGGAGACAAATTACAGAGAAGAAAATGATTGAAAGCTTACAGTTAATTCCACGACGAAAATGAAGGTCTTAAACATGAAGACTCTCTCGTCTTCTTCGTTCTTTTACTCCGAAACGAAGAATCAACCAAAGAATCAATCAACATTAATTAAGCATGTGCAATCGTCCAAACACCTTAACAGCTGTCTACAGATATCCATCATCATCATCATAAGACGACGTCACTACTGGTTTCAATATCCGTTTATAAAGAGAAGAAGAAAAAACATCAGATCGTCTTATTGAAGATGATCGATGGGAATCAAGCAAACGAGATAACACGACTCGAGCAAGAAATTCATAATCTCAGCAGGAAATGAACTATTGCTAGGTTTTTTTTCGTTAGCCGAAATAAGACAATCTGTCAATCACCTAGTCGACTTCCAGCTGAGATGAAAAGGACAAACAGTGGACAACTTACTAGTTAATTCTTTTTCTTCGTATGTCTACTAACAAACTATCCTTCATTAAAAAAACGAAGAAAAACTTACGATTTGTGTCTGTTTATTGTCAAGCCTTGTTATCTACTACTGCATATCTCTTTTCTTTTCTTTTGAGTGCATATGCTTTCTCTCATTTGACGTTTTATTGTTCTCCATCTTTCTTTCTTCCTTTCTTTCTCCTGTCTTTTTCTCTCTTACTCTTGATTTTCTGTCTCTCTCTATTGCTTTCTTCTCGTATACACAACAAACTGATTTGGATTATGACTACTACCTTCATTTTCGTTGAGAAAAGAAAGAGAAAAAGAAAAAGAAATTGCCACAATCGCTGCACTGATGGAACTAAATCAATAAGAAGAAAGAATTTCGTTGTTTTGAAACGCTTGAAGAAAATTAGCTAGAATAAACAGCAACACACTTCAACTTCGATCTGTTCATGTGTGTGCATATGTATGCTAAGCAAGGTTTCTGACATACATACATGCGCAGAGACTCGCTCACTTGATCAGAGTGTGAAGAAACGAAGACCGACAACAAAAGAATGTAAGTGTGTAATGGCATGTGACGAAGAAATACGAATATATTCACACACGACATCCTAGATTCAAACTTACGCATAGATATAGATAATACATGTCAAAACTGTCAAATATTGCATACATACACACACATATATATCTCTCTCTGCCCAAATGTGATTACATGGACAACAATAGAACAAATGAGATGTATATACGAAGAGCAAATGCAAATAAACGAATGTAAAAAGTATGACGAAAAAAAAAACACCAGGAGTGTTTTTTCTTCTTCTCCACTTGAAAAGAAATCAATCGTAAATTGTATCTTTTATCTAGTCCAATATAAAACTAACAAACTTTTTTCCGAATCATTTCTTTGCCTCATAGATCATGCACGTCGATTGAATGGATCACTTAGAAGATGATTCGTTTTATTTCTTCGACGATTCCTCTCTATCGCGCTATCATCTCGCCATTGAAAACAATTAGAATGACGGATAGAACAAATTCAAAGGTTGGCTAGCTATCATCTACGTGTCTTTCCCAAAGGAATATCTCTTCTAAATGTCAACGCTTGGTCGACGAAAGCAAGAAGAAAACGACTACCCATCTATTATGTCACTAACGAAAACCGAGATAAAAGAAATAGGCTATCATCAGAGTAAATACGTACGGTGTCCTTGAGGGTATGTTCAACTGTTTCTATCTCTAACAGTTTCTGCGTGCAAATGAGAAGAAGAAAACGAAGAATAAGCGACTGTAACGTCAACAAGGTAAGAAAAGGAGAAACCTTCAGGTGAAAGACGATTTAAGTTTCATTTTGTATAGCGATGATACTTGTAAGTTCTTCTCCAAACACATAATCGAATAGAATTGATCTCGCGATGCTCAAGAAAGTTTATGCATTATGTCAAGAGAGTATTACTCTCTTTAAGCTAACAGTCTGTCATTATTCCCACATTGCTTATCTTCCTCCTACATGGCAGAACTTCGCGTTTTCTTGTCTATTTTACGTACATATACACATCATTGTAATCGATTTGGGCCAATGTTAATTCGCTTTTCATCAATAACAATTAGGAGTCGCAGACGACGACAACGACGAAGAAGAAGAAGAAGACATTCAATCAGCATAATGAAAGGAAGATACTATCATCCGAACTAATCACATATTTTTACTTAAACGAATGTCAAAACAACGACACACAATCCTGATTGGATTTCACATTTCTTTCGCAGCTGTTTCTCATTGAAATCAATTGCTCAATTTCGTTAGCATCCGATTGACGCATCAAAACGTGCGCTACAACGAGTTTCATTCGTTGACGTTTTTTCTTGCGTCAACAAATTCCTCTTTTCTCCCTCCCTCTCTCTCTCTCTTTACCGCTAATTCTTCTTCGTAATGTTTGCTCTTTGATTATATGTTGATAAGCTAGAAACAGACATATACAAAACAGAAGAGAGGAAAAAATGTTTTCAGAACGTCAAAGTAATCTCAAAAGAAGTAAAGAACAGTTGTCATTTTCTTTACGAGAGAGAAGATCTTTATTCTAAACTACATTAATAAGCAAAATGTTACTGATGATTTTGTCGCGGATAAATCTGTCAAAATACTAGTCATTTCTTTATTGATTAGATTAGCCTCATATGTTCGGGAAAAGGAGTCAGGTAGTATACTACTGTTGTTAACAAAAATAAGAAATCGAGGATGAATTACAACTTTCAATATACCTATTTTCACTTAATTCAACATGTATTAAAATACAGATTTGTTATTTCTTTTTCTCTCTATCCCTCTTCTCTATTCACTCAATACTTGCTCATCAATATGTATCCTCACGGATATGATCTTTAACGCACAGCTATACTAATGATTATATCGACATCAACTATGAGAGAAGAAAGAACGCATGTTTCTATCACAGATGAAATATGAAGAGAATAAGAGAACAATATAAATCAGTAATTCAGTGACGAATATCGTCTTATACATGTTCGGTTTTTTTTTGTCTCTCAATTACTTTTTTGTTCGCTCTCTACACGTGTACAACGCACATTGACAATGCCAACGTCATTGTGTACAACCTTAACCCGCGATTATCAATGCTTCCGGCAGTACGAAGAAAATCGGAAAAACATGTATCTTTTGGGCAGCGTCATCGGTTGAAATAACAATGCATAGATGGATAAGGAGCGAGAGATAGAGAACAAGATGTGTCAAATAGACAAGGGAAGAGATTGTCGAAGACGTGTANAGAACGTGCGCAGAAAAATATTTATCGATAGACATATAGCGAGTGATCGTTAGAGAGACAACTGTTCATTGACATTCGTTTGATTATAAAACGACAGATAAATCCAGGGTATCATCGACGTCACATCATTACATGGTATGCTCTAAGTACAAATGACGTCGAAATTTACGATTTAAGAGAAAAGTATATTCTAGAAACGAGAGTGCAGATTGATCGATAGAATTCCTCGGCTTGTTAGATGTGTTTATTATATTCAAAGATAGATTGAAATATTGGAGAACATTCCACTCAATTCGAAATGCAAATCATCAGTCTAATCAAAAGTTGCTAGATTAAATGTAGTTGTTTTGCGCGGTGATGGCGATCGATTGGGTATGAAAATACTCGTTGAATCTAATACAATCGAAATGTGTTATCAAAATAGAACGGTATGAAACGTACTTGGAACGTGTAATTGACAGGAACCATCTTTTTTATAAATCGGTGGAAGTCTTACTAGATTTCAAAGTCGAACTCATGTGAAGGAAGAGTCATATGAAAAGATTAACTTACTTGGCTGGACGTATAATAGATTCTTTTCGATGTAGTCATTTCTCGTATCTAATTCTTCCAGCAACCAATAGGTTGTCTAAATTAAATGCCTATGTATGTTTTCAAAGGGATAGAAGATCAAATCACAAACCATTTCGCCTTTGCCCTACAATAGATGTTAATGATGGAAACGACCAATGAAACGAAAAGTACTTACTTTGATGTGAATTGTTCCACGTTTTTCCATGAGAAAACGGCCAGTTTTATCTAGCAATTCTTTGGTGTCTTTTGTTATATGAATTTTATTCGCTAAAACATTCGTAGGAGTCAAACAAACTATAATTCATTGTACAAAACTCGCATTACCTTCACTATTCGATTCCATTCTTGATCTAAAACAGTCCTTGCAATACATCTATAGACGAATTTCTATTGATGGATACGTACGCTGTGTTCACCGTGTCACCGAACAGGCAGTACCTAAATTCAGAATTCGTGAGATAACTCCATTGTATTGTTCTACTCACCGAGGCATTTTTGACCCAACCACACCAGCACATACAGGCCCTAAGCAAACTCTAATCAAATATCGAAAGAATTATTCAATCTACCTGAATGTAAACCAACGCGAATGCGCAACTTTTCATTATTGGAATAGGGCACGAGACAATTCATTGCTTGACGTATGAGTTCCAATGCCATCGTTGCAATTTGATGTGCATGTTCATTTCCATTCTTTTTCGGTACACCAGAAACAACCATATCTGAAAACTCCTCAACAATACAAAACTTCTCCTCTCCAACACTCAACTTACATGCATCTCCAATTGTTTCGACTTTATACACATCATATCGATCAATGATGGTATCGAATGTGGTATAGACCCGATTGAGAAACTCGACGACATCGATCGGTTTACATTGACTTGCGATAGTTGTGAACCCAACGATATCACTAAAGAACACAGTTGGACTTCAACGATCATCGTCAACGATCGAACAATACCTGAAATATATTGTACAACTGTCGTAATGCTCTGCAGTGACATGTTGACCAACTCGCAATTGTTCAGCAACACTCTTTGGTAACATACCTTCGAAGAAAATGTTCAAGATTTGTTAGCACGAGCGCGAGACTTACTATACAGCAGACTCTCCGATTTTTGTTTTTCTTGTTCGAGTTCATATGTCCGCACTTGAACGGCTTGTTCTAAACTCGTTTGATACAAAGACATCTTCTTGAACATCAAATCGATTGGGCTCATTTGCAATGGGCACATTTTCTTCAAACTTTTCTGTATGTCTTTACATGTTGGACGGTCGAATGGATTCTCCATAATGCATTGTTTTATCAGTCGGGTGTAGGACGATGGTAATGGACAAAAATCTTCTTCGACCTCGTTGTTGACATCATGTGTCATCTGAGCAATTTTAGGACGGTATCCGACTTTCATAATTGATTCGACATCATCGTCCTAAATCGAACTGAGTGTTTGAGAGAAAAAAAGGCAGATAGAGGATTTTTACTCCGAAAGGTTCTGATCGTGTGGCTATTTCGTTGAGAATGACGCCAAATGCATAAATGTCAATAGGTGAAGTCAGTTTCAATTCATTGATAGAGATCAATTCTGGTGCATAGTAAACACGTTTATATGCTTCAACAGATTGCACATATGAATTGACGCTAATTGTGCCTTGACGAAGATGATCAAGGCCATAATCTTCAGAATATAGATAGGACAATCAAGTTGAAACCGTGGATGACATACTTTACCTGTTATTTTTACCGTTAAACGTTGGTCAACAACACAGTTCGATGAATTTAATCGACCATGAATCAGATGTCGGCTATGTATGTAAGACAACCCATTGAGGATATCCATGGCAAACGAAAATCTAGAAAATAATAGAATATGTCATGCGTGATTTTGACTAGCGATGATCTTTACCGGAACGGCCATGTTATTGGTATTTTTTCATTTTGTAGAACATCACGTAACGAACCTTTCGGCATATATTCCATGTAAATAATAACTTCATTGGGAAATAAGGATGCACCCATGAATTTACAAACATTATTATGATTAAATGTTCGAACAAGACGAACTTGTTCACGTACACGACGTGTTAATTGGAAATGTTTGTGTTTATATTTACGGATGGTAACATATGTATGTCGGCTGGACGTAAAAGAAAATCGATTGTTGATTCGCAAAATTGTTAACGGAAACTTACAGATAACCAACGGGACAGAAGATTTGCTGGGTACAACTTATATTAGACAAGTTTGTTGTGATACTTAAGTTAGTTTCACTTGTTTGTCTTGAAAAGTTCGTTTTCTGACAATCGTTTATAGATGTTAGACTGCTAGATTGTTGTGAGCGGGTCGCTAGTCAGGAAAAGACAAACGTTCCTTAATTGTAAATAAACATTTGATAAGCTTACGTTGAACTTCTTTCACATCAATAATCCAACTTGGATCCCAGAGAAGACGTTGTTCTTTTATTTTGAAGTACTAAGAGAAACAGATTCATGTTGTCACGATAGAATGAACTTCGTGGAATAAGACTTACTAAACCAACTCCAATAAATGAAAAGACAACAATTGCACAACCAACAGTAATCAAACCAATCTGAATAGGTTTCAGTGGACACTTGCCACAATCTAATGGGCAATTTGAACAATTCTCGTACTTGACATCACAAAAGCCATCTCCACAGACTAAAATAGTCTTTTATGGAATTGTCATTGTAATATGTATGGTTACTCACTTGCTCTACGATTAACTTGAACATTCATGCTCACGAGAGCAATGTGGATCCAATTTGCTATACCCACTTTGAAATGAGCAATGATTTCCACCACACCAAATACCGGTATGATCACAGTACTTTCATAGACTACAAATTCATTTTTCATCAAACCAACTACATGCGTAGTAAAACTTACTGCGTCCTGCAGGTCCTACCATGACTGTGCTGTGATAGATTTGACCACTTGGTGGAATCCTTTGAATGAATAGATGGTACGGCTACGATAAAATTACATTTTATAACACACTTACCATGGTCCACAGTATGGAACTGTACTACTGATTCCACAAGCATGAACATTTATATGCCATAAACAAACATCTGATTCAATTTTTGGGTCGGACAGATCGAAAGTAGGTTGATGTGTATGACACCAATGATACCACGATTGACTACTATTCATCGTTCGATTGGATAATCTAGATCAAAGTAGAACTCAACATTCGTTTAGTCACGGTTTATAAAACAAACGAACGTATATAATGGACGTGGAGATTTTGTAATCGCCCAATCGAAGAACTCTGGTAACAGGTCAATTGAATACGAAACGTTGAACGGAACATCTTGAGTAACTGCAACATATACGAAAAAGCTAAATATAATACATCCTTCACCGGCAACCGAAATCACCTTTTCTTGGTGGTGGTGTAATCCAATCGAGATGGACACCTGAAATGCAATCATTTATGAACCACGAGAAAAGTCCTGGTGAGGAACTACCTTTACAATTAGAACCATGCTGTGCTAATGTTTCTGTCACTGTTGGCGAAGCATGTGCAGGCCAACAATGAAATCGGCTGTTATCCATATTATGCCACGCAGAACATATTAGACACAAACTTGTCAGTAAAAACTAATAGGAAAACTTATTTGACGAATTTGCAAACGGAATACATTACCAGTCGAAACATTTCTTTTTCGAATCGCAATTAGTACAAATGATCGAGAACATCACAGAGCTGACATATCGATTGTTTCCATGTGAACGTACATGTTAAGCACCTTATGATCTTTATCTCGCTGTTTATCAGCACATCGCTATCATTCGATAGGTACGAAAACTTTCCTTTTCTATAAATTCTCATTACTTTTTTTTCTCTTATTTTTCAAGTATATAAATAAAATAAAAAAACATCAACAAACTTTCATCAGTGACAAAAAAATTCCATATTCTAAAAAAGAAGCAATACAGTGAAGAGAAAAGAAATGACATTTGTGTTTACTAGAGGATAAATCTCAAAATCCAGCACGTTAGTAGAAAAACGAGCACCGTAGTTTTTCAATGAAGTCGAATCGAGGAGAGAATGAGAAGCTCGCTGTTCATTTGTGGTGATAGTGATTGATACTGAACATCGTGTCTTGTTTTTCCCAAAGCACCGGTTTGGAAGAAAAATATTTTTAAAAGAAGAGAGAAGACATTTTAACAAGGAAAACACGGCCAGAGAACAAAATTCACACATAAAGAAACAGCGGTTTCTCAACAACTAAGCTAATGCAGATGAAAATGGACAGAAATGAAGGACAAAGACCTATCGAGTCACAATTCCGCTTCGTTCGTTGCATTAATTTCGGCATCAACACGATATAGAATGACTTTTTTCGGCTGCAACGTTGTCACTTCACTTGATGATGATGGTGGTGATGCAGAATCCGAAGTTAGAAATGCAATGACAAGTTCGTAGGTACTCATCATGATCGCTGTATTCTAAAATCAAGAAGCAGACAATAAACAAAACTTCTCGATTATTTTCTATGTGTTTTACTGGAATTTGTCGAATTAGATGGGTCAGTAAACCTCGATACAAGCCGGCGATACTTTCTTCATAGTAGACTGTTTTCAATGTTTGTAGAAATGTCCGGTACTTGGTACCTTCTTCTCGCAGACGCGTTCGAACAACTTCATGAGGATAACATAAAGTTGTTGCACATGATTTTGAACATGCCGCAGCAGTTAAATAAGAAAGAAAATTATACCAATTGGATTCATCTGATGAAGAGTTTTGACGTGTTTGAAGCAATTGTAATTGTGCTTTAATTTGTTCGTAAAGAACAAAATGGACGATGGTTTCTGACACACCAACATACGACGCAGATATACCTAAACAAATGCACTCATTTCAATCTTCGTCTACTCGATAATCTTACCTTTATAGAAGCCCAACAGGCCGTGTTCACGGTAAACATTACGTATGAGATCAATCGTGCGAAGATTTCTAGTCAATAATGAATGCAAGATAGAAAGATACTCTGCAAAAAGTCTTTACCCTTGGTCAATTTGTAGACGTGTTTTAATAAACCACAGCGGATTGGTACATGTGGACATGGCGATGCCTTGAGAATAGGCAAAGGATTAATTGTGACAACCATCGTTTGCAATGATTACCTGCTGTTGCTGCTGAAGTTATATGTACTAATGGTGTCTCGCGCTCCATTTTTTCAACTAGTAATGATTTGGTATTTGCATAAGCAAAAAAATAAATCGCCCTACAACAATGCATACCCATATACAGATAAACGATTTCTGTTGATCTTACCTTGATGGTGCTACTCCGACTAGATTCGGCACAAGACCTTTGAATAGTCCTGGCATCCCTTCATATTTGATAATGTGTCTAAATGGCTAGACTCTACGAAGAGTTCGTTTCAATAAAAGAATTTACCGAAGTGAACCAATTATAGTTGGACGTATTCTTTCTTGTTGACACTGATAAGCGACTGTATTACTGTGAGGTGAATGTAGATCAACCCGAGTCTTTTCTCTGGAAAATGAATTTTGTGATGATTGATATCGTGTTTTGATTACTTCTAATGGGCATGTTAGAACTGCACCGAATGTGCCAGCAAGGCTAAATATAGAAATCGAAAGTTGAAATCGATTTGTTCAATAGCAGTCGATATACCCTCCTGCTAATAGATGAGCGTAGGTAGAACGATTTACACCTGTTTGTTGTTCTCCATTACTTTTGGTATTAGGCGTAGACATGTGAGATCATAGAGAACGATTTGATTGAAATTAGTTCATCACTTAGTCAGACATAATCTAGAAGACATTTTTGTTGTAGAATATAGAGTATTGAGTAGAAAAAAAAATCAAAGAACTGACTAGTTGAAAAGCAAAAAACTTCATGAAAACAAAAGAACTGATAACAGATCGGAAAGAATTATCTATGAATTGTTGTTTTAGAAAACAAACTGTTGCCGATTTCGGGTGATATTCGTTAGGATGATTGAGAGAATGTAGAGAAAACCAAATTGAAAATTCAGTATTGCTGTTCGATTCGGTAGTTTGACCAATTGATCATGTTGAAATTCCTTGCATAATCGATGAGCATGAACCACTGTTAACAAGGGTAAACAGCAGAGCCACGAGATTTTGATCATCATGCAACTGATAATTACATAAGGTGAATATATGAGCAAACAATAAAGATAATACGAGAATCGTTTTCCAAGTAATATCGATAGTGTCAAGACACCAACAGATCTGTCATGTTCCATATCACGTGTGTTGTTGCTATGAAGAATAGCTTCGGTGTTTAATGTTAACGGTAGAGCATAAAAAACAGGATAGATGCTATAGTAACCAGCCTGAGCCATAAATGAATAAACAATTGTGATAGGACCGAATGTTAATAGAATGAGAACGTCGCCAAGTGCAATGTATTTAAAACCTAATATCGATGAAGTTTTACGACATCGTTCGGAGAAGAATCAAACTCACCAATGCCGCCTGTATATAGGAACGAGAGTGGAAGTGCACCGAAATAGATCAAAGCTAGATATGGTTCTTTTGCTGGTGAAACATGTGATAAGAATAGAAAAGCAATCGTTCCGATCGCGTATAATATTAGTCCTAGTCGAACCACTTCATTTGGTTTAAGCAAACCTTCGATTAACGTCCGATCATCGATAGTGTGTTCCTTTTTATTATTGGTCGCGGGGGAGTCCACCCCATGAATGTAATCGTAATAGCTATAAAAATGGCAAATACAAAATCGATTTTATCGGTGTTTTTCTCTACACTTACGTATTGAAAAGATTAGCCGCAGCATGAACACACAATGCTGACACGCATGTAAGAAGAAGAACAGATATGGATAGGGTTTGTACAGATGAATATGCCAGAGCACTACCTAACAAAAGTGGCATCATACTCGCTGTAAAAGACCATGGTCTGACGGCTAACAGATATTTTTCAAATGTATTCATGTCGATGTAATAACTAGAAAGAAAACATTTATGATATCGTTTGTGATGCTCATTGAATGCAAATGTTTGAAATACCTAGTTTGGTTATTCTATCATTTGTATCTGCTCCTTTTCTTTTCTTTTCTGATGTAATCTTAGTAGTAACCAAATCATATATATGAATGGATAAATATGATCGAATGAATGGTAAACCTCCGCTGGTCGTTTTCATTGTTAATAGTTAATAGCGAATCATATTGAAGGGATGAATCATCGATTGAAAGGGCACAAATAGACTGATTTCTACTAGAATGAAGCAAATAAAACTTTAACAGATGTTGCTTGCTTCGATGACGACCGGCTATTCGAACGAATTTTATGGAAACTAGTTTGAATTGAATAAAAATGATGGTCTGCTCCGTTTGTTATATGAAGTTCCTTGACTACTATAGGTTATCATCTGATGAGAGAAAGCCGACTGCTTCCAAATGTATAGAACATACTTATAAAGAATAGTAGATTAGTTTTATTTCAAATCTTTGTTAATGTTCTTCTTCTTTTAACTAAAATATCCAGCTATATACTGAGAGAAATAAAGTAAGCATAAAAGTTTTCTTTTCTCAAATCCAGATGTCCGATGTACAATCACCACCTGGATAGCGCACTTCATGGGCACGCGCTGGACCGTGCGGTTCATTTTTAAAGGACATATAAAACGTTTGGTCCAATTTCATGCCGCCATTTTCACTATCGCAATCGATCTTTGCTAAATACGAACCGTCTTGTCGAATTCCTGGATAGAATTGATCGTCCCATGACGAGTACAGCGAATTAGTGACATAAAGACGTTTACCATCGATCGATAATTGAATCATTTGAGGTCCGCCATGAAGTGAACGGTTATCATTGTAATCACTGCCAGTTTTGGTTAAACCTCCAAGCCAAATTTGTCCGGTTAGTTTTGGCTTAGCTGGATCACTGATATCATATTGACGAACATCACCGTGAAACCAATTACAGAAATAGACTAGAAAGAAAGATTAATGATTGCAATAATCGTTTGTCGAACGAGTTCACCTACTGAATTTATCGTTCAAGGAAATGAGCATATCGGAAATGATGGCCGGGACGGGTTGTCCATCATTACCAGTTAGACTTTCCACTTGAATAACTTTTTCAACTTGCCATTCACTGGATGAATCTTGATAAAATCGGAAGACAGAACTACCCAACGCACATACCACATAACCATACGGAGTAGGTGGATTATGACAAAAACGTAATTCAAGAGGAATCAAACCATCCTTGCCAAGATCAACTGTTTTCAAATATTCTCGTTTCGACCAGTCCCAAAAGTGTAATGAATGACCGTATTTATTTAAAGCAACATCGTTCGGATTGAAACCTAAAAAATCCATTCGTTTTATTTCACGAAACTGTAGCAGATATCGCATTACCTTTTTCGAATACATTCGGAGCCGCCCATTCGCTACTAACCATGATATTGTGTCGTGGTTTGTACCAAAAGTCATAATAAAATTGAACATTTGATGGGACTTCTCCACGATTCCATCGTCCAGTGACGTCGAAGTTTTCATTTAATAAAATAAAACCACCAGGCAATTCACCTTTCGCATTTCCTAAACAGGAAATCATGATTTCTCCNCATTTTTATGAACGTCTACGAAGAAATCGAAGTAAATGATGAAGATAACACATATAGAGAACAGAAAAAAAGATTTATGAGGAAAAACTGAGCAGAAGGTAAAAAGGAACGACAATATATAAGAATTATAATAACAGATTAGTTTCTACGCTAAATAATTTCTATGATAAATATAAAATGTAAAATATACGCTTATCAGTTTGAATATCAGCTTCACTAACAATTAGTTAGAAAACGACTATTACTCGGTTGATGCATTTGAAAAAAGTGATGTATTTCTCTGCGATTATAATTATTAATATAACATGAAAAGTTTCAATGTTCATATTTAAAAGCCAAAAGAAGTAAAAGTAAATTAAGATAAATTTATAAATGATCATGATTGAATGCATTCAACCATAAAAGTAATAAACAATATAGTAATGCTATGCTCTCTTCCAATGAACTTAATATATTATTTGCGCATAAAAAAATTTCATCAAAAAGAATTTTCATCATTTCTCATTAGAAAAATTCCAAAGTCAATAATTTTTCAAAAACTTCCCCAGCTGTAAAAAATTTCCCCCAACGCGCGTTGGCGCAGAAGACCATATTCTGTACCCCTGCGTCGCCGAGATGGAAACACAAATGCGTTTTTCAGAATGGTTTTAAAAACTTTTACATAACACTTCAAATCTCCATTTTTGGCATGTGATTTATTTGCATCTTTTGTAATTGAACAAATCTCTTGTATAATTCACACTTCTTTCTATTCACTTATTGTTTGTAAATAAAAGTGCAAATTTCCTTTCGAATTCTTTTGCAGATGTATTTTTTGTTTTGCTTGTCTAATTTGTATTCGTTCGTATTCAATATTCACTTGTTTTTTCTTTTCTGTCGTGTAGTTGATAATTATATCATTATTAGTGTGTCTTTACTTCATAGACAAATAAATAAATACAGTTTATATTAGAAAGTATTTTTCTTTACTGAAATAAAGAAAAACAAATATCAAATTGATAACACATTGTGATATTTTCAGTCGTGGGCAATGCGAGTCACCCCCGACGAGCGTTATTTATTATTTATGAATGTTTACAGTAGAAGTTCAATGTATAAAATGTCAACCGTCAACAAGTGCAATTTATTTGTTATATAAAGAAATTATTCGTAAAAATTCAAATAATAATAAGCTCAAATCAATTCTAAAGTGTGCAGATGGGCTCTCATTTCATATTCCTAAACTGTCTTTATTATTATACTGACATCGTTTTTCTTTCCTCATTTTTCGTATAATGAGATAATTTCGAAAATTTGATCTTTTTTTGTTTCATATTTTATTCATTGATTTTTCGAAACGCTGAGAAGAATTAGACGGAAAAAAAAGAATATAAAAAAAGAGAAAATAAAAAGCACACACTAAAATTTAGTTCATTCTGTCTGAATATTTTTTTTGAACGTTTAAGTTGAAGATTTGCATGCATAAGCAATACGACCTCCAGCTAACGAACTCAAGAGGAGAGCAAGTATTGTGAACAAATGGCCTGCTTCATATAAATTAGCTGAATAAGCATTATAAGTTAAGTAACGAGAACCTTCGGCTATTCCTGCTAACATAAATAGAGATGCTAAAAAGAATAAAACACCAGGAATAAAATTGAGAAACCATTCGCTGAAAATGCCAAGTGCCATGAGAATTGTAGCAACAACACCAAAAGCAATAAAGATAATACCAACAATACCTAAGCCAGATGCGTTTCGCATACGATTATTACAGTCATCTTGGCTAGCTATAGCAGTAGATGGTACATTAGTGCAAAACGGATTGCTATTTCCACTGCGTGATGAACAGCTAATTTTGTCGCCAGTAGTTGGATTGTAAGTACAGAACGTGAAGAGATTAGCGGAGGCGCTTATATAATTGCTATTTGGAGCAGCATATTGATACCATTGAACTGTACCCATACCAACACAAGCCAAAATTAATGCCACAAATCCAAAAGCTGCTGCAACAAAAGCCAAAATTTTACTAATTTTATCTGCTGCTGTTCGAGCCATGATTGATCAATAGAAATATGTTGATTAGTATGATACTGAAAGAATAAGCTTTACTTGGAGTATTTATATATCTTTTTTTCTACGTAGGTGCGTTTGATTTCATCCAAAGAGAAGAATATTTTTTTTCTATTCGTTCAATAATATACGTCTATGTCTCATAGTAACACATTCGTACAATGTTAAAACATCGATATTTTCAATCTTTCAATTTTCCGCGATTTTATTACCAAAATAAATAAACAGGAAAAAAAATTCATTTTAAACTCGATCACCATTTTTATCTTCCATTAGTTGTGACCATGCATTATGATCTCTTGTCTATTTGTACAACTCTCTTTTTTTTTCTTTCCTTCCTTCTGATCAATCAATCGTTCTTTACAATGTTGACATGGAAATAGCAAGAGAAATTCTAAAAATATGTGGCATATTTAATTATACGACATATGCATACAGACACTTTCTCATTATTTTTTTTCCAGACAACGAATAATCTTAGAAATTGATTTTTTTCATCATTCACATCGAAAAATCAATAGTAATACTAAATAACCTTTCTTTCTTTCTTTCTTTTCGTTTCTTCGCATAGTTGTAATATATGTTGTTGTATTTAACGAAACTTTTCTCCTCCACATCGTTGTCATGAAGCATAAATCAAACAGATTCTCCTTGAAAGTGAAGTGTAAGTATGAAAGAATTGAAAATACCGATATATTGAATGAAAAAGAACATTTTCATGACTTTGATTTATTTTTATCACGCAAAGAATTCTCTTTAATAATTATTGTATGATATGCTAGTAATGAACATCTGTTTTTTGTTCAGATGTCGTTGAAAAAAATAAGATGTTAAATTATACATTGATGCAAATGTTTCAACATTCTGCGTTGTATTCAAGAATTCAATTGAATTTTTTTTTCGAAAATATCATTAACAAATGATCAATAAATATAAAAATTTTGTTTAGTATTAATTATAGAGTTATTAAGTGAAAAATGTAACAGTGCATTTATTGTATTAACAAAGTGTTTTTCAGTCTTCTTTCTTGATTCTTTGCCTAAAAGGTATATTTATTGTTACTTGGAAGGTCAGAGGAGATATAAGTATGACTTCAGAACAGAATTGTCATTCCATCGAATATAGAATAGAATGCAAAAATAGTTAAATGAGATACGCTTCTGTTTTACATTACCTCTATACACTTTTTTTCTTATCTCATTGCTTGTATTGAAAAAATTATTGATATAATGAATCTACATGAAGATGTATTTTCGTAACGCTAATTTTTCAAACTAAATACATGAATAATCAGTCATACTATAAGTATTTATCCACATTCCTGTTGATGGATCATAACGTACTAATTTCATCACTTCTTTTAAAAATTTTCTATCATTTAATACAAATTTCATATGAATTATATTAAGTCATCCTTTTTACAGAAATTTACCATTGATAATAATGCTAAACAGACAACTTTTGATAACTAACAGAAGCTAGTAATCCATATAGATTAATTTAATATTATCTATTATCTCATAACGAAAGACAAATACCAGTATTATTGTAAAATCGATCAGATTTCTTTGAGGAACATTTCAACATTGAATTTTATGTACAATAAAATAAATGCTATGTTTTCGGTGAACAGCCACTTTCGTCGACTCACTTTGTCAAATAATTTTCACCGACAAAACATTTAGTCCAAAAAATTTCGTCGACATTTATTTCAGTCGGTGACGAAAGAAAAAAATAAACTTGTCTTTCAATAAATAGTATGCATCTCGTCATCGTTAAACAATCCGTAGGAATACTACAAAAGGATTGATCATTTTTCTGTTTCCAATCCAAGGATAGAAGGTGTCCTGTTTTGAGAGTGATTTTTCTCGATTTGCGATGTTGCATATAATTTTGAATGCATGTAGAGTAGCATAATCCTTTTGTCCATCCAATTGAAAAGGATCCTCTTCAAAACGAAATGGTTTATGTAAAACAAACTGTTCAACATGCTAAGATGGGAAAAATAGAAAAAAAACGATAAGAAAAGTTGTGAAATGTAGCAGTGATTCGATAATTTAATCCATCAATACAATAAAAAAAAAAGAAATCACGCTCTACGAGTATTTTGAAGGACTTTCACTTTTGATTGCTAAAAACAAAACAGTAATCGTATACATGATTTTCATATCTATTTATAAATCTTGATATATTTTGTTCTTGTCATTCATTTCTAAGCTGATTTAAGGATTATATAAAAGGATGGGGGACGTTTTGGCCGTATTTTGGCTTATGGGCAAAAGTGCGACGAATCTCAATGAAACTCTCAGCAATTAAAGATCCCATAGATGGTAGTCACTCCTCAAACTTTCAACTCGATCGGTTGAACTTTTTCGCTGAGTCGACCCTCATCAGTATAAGGCCTATATACAGCTCAAGGCTAAACCATATGTGTTAGCTTTTCTGTTAGCGGCCAAAGACTCCTGTCCACTAGACGTTAATAGGCCGGACGGAAACAACAGAGAACATAGCGAACGAAATATAGAAAACGAGAAGAACGAAAAGAAAAAAGGATCACCATGTGGTATTGAACCACATAAGAGACGTGTGATGACAGAACATGAAAGAGAAAAGGTTAGCGATATTGAAACGACTATAAAACTAATGTCATATTTAGAATCAGCACGAAAAACTAGGTTGAATGGCATAGATTTAAAGTTTTTCTCTCAAAATACGTTTTGGGTCATATATCTATAGAGGATACCCCCTCGGAATACTCGAGGAAAAGATAAGTTAATAGAAAAGCTTGAAATCTATGCCATTCGGCTCAGTTTTTCGTGCTGATTCTAAATATGACATTAGTTTTCTAGTCGTTTCAATTTTGTATTGACGATATGGAAAATACACCCAAAAATGGCTCTTTTCAACAGTGTGAGTCCTAACCACCCCATAAAGACAGACTTTTTTCCTGATCATTGTCTTTGTGAGTTTGAAGGTCTCATCGAGTTACATCGATGGTAAAAAAATGGTTTTGTTTCTGAGTCAAATTATATAGGAAAAAAGATTCACATGTAACTAGTCGCACATTTTTTTGAAGTGCTCGTGGTTGATGTTGTCGTCGATCCAAATGTAATTGAAGAAGATCATAGCCTACTTCCATTAGAAATAAACGTCGACGATAGTTTTTCTTTTCATTCCATTGAGGATTTCTGGTTGTCCATACCACAAAAGCAGCAATAGCACCAACATCAACTATATTGAAAAAGAAAATCATTGGCCATCGTCTTGTCTTTCGTTTACAAGAATAAGTTTGAACCATCTGATCCATATGATCAACATCACCTTTTATGCTATTGTAATATAAAATGATTTCTGGCTTTTTCTTTTCGTCGTCAACAATTGTCTGATCATGATGAAGAGATGACAATAGAATCACGGCTTGTGATTTTTTAGGCACATAGCTAACCAGTGTTGATTATCGATCAAAATAAAACATCGATGATTCTCCAGGACGTTGAGTATTTCGTTGTTACTCACGTGAAATTTCCTTTTTATTTTTTCGAATAGTTCCTACAAGAGTTGTTTGAACACCTAGAAGATCTTCTGCTAATTCTGCACTGTTGAAATAATTATCTGTAGTGATGGATCGTCTTTTATTGATCCAAGTATGTACCAATCGTTTCACTAAATTACGAATTCGACTGGCATCTTTAGTTGTAGCTGTTGCTCCTGGCTGACGAACCATGTAGACTTCAGCATTCAAAGGATATGCTGTGTCTGAGTCACAACACCAAAAAATCTTTATCCCATACTTTCCAAGTTTTTTAGGCATATATTAACGAAAATTGCATCGACCGTAAGTTGGAATAAGTTGTTCGCCTACCGTGAGCGATTCACCAGGTATATAACATATTTGTAATTGAGCTAAGAACATTGTTCATAAATCTCGTATTGGTGCAAGTTTATCTGACTTCAATATTTCCTGTCGTGCTATTGTATTATCGAACATACAGAACTAAAGTAAAGCTTTGAAGCGATTCTTACTCATAGTTGCTCGAAATATCAGTCGTCCATTGATGATTGACCATAATTCATTCAGACTTTCATTCTTTGCTCGATGAAAGCCCATATTTCTTCAACATCCGTATCTCTTCATTGGTATTTCTTACCAGCATTTTTCTTATTCCATTGTTCCAAGATTACATGCGCTCGTCGATTGGTTTCCTTCGCCAACAGAAGGACCATTTCTTGAGTTATGAGAATTTCAAATGCGTCTTCTAGGGTTTTTATACCTGTAGCTGGTCGTCCAACGCCATTTTCCTGCCGTAAGATGTTATCAGATGGTATTTTTCCTTTGGGAGGTTCATTTGATGTCCATTGACGTCCAGATTTTATTGTAATTATCTGAACGGGTCATGGTTTAACCCGTCGTTGACGTTTTGCTCGACGTCTAGGTGGCTTATCATCACTGATACTTCCAGTTTCAACGGTACCATCATCAGATGCATCACCTGAATCCTCTTCAATCGTACCACCATCTTCGTTGTTAGACTCATCATGGACGTACTTGGAACCAGAACGTTTCTTCGAATTCGTATGTATTTGAATAATAGTTGTACGTAATAGTATATATAATCACTTTACTATGTCAATGAATGGATTTATATACGTTTTTATGAAGAAAGCCGAAGAGCTCACTAGAAAATGGCAGAAGTAAAAGAAACTTTTAGAAGATGCAAGAGAAATATATGTCATCTATACCAAAAGAACGAGAACGAAAACATATGTACTAGAACATACCAGAGAGGTAATGTATGTATCCACGTCTGATCATAGAACGAAATAAGATATACATATAATAAAAGATAATTAATTTTATACTATGGGGTCCGGTTGGATCCCAGGTGGGCAAAATACGTATATGTGCACTTCGAGGTAATTTATTTCACGAATGAGTAAAAGAGATAAGCGAATGCTTTCTACAGTATACTCTACTACGTACAACAATCTGTTTAACTGAATGAGAGAGTAAATGTTCATAAATTTTCTTTTGTATTTCTTAAAATGATCACTGATTATCTTTGTAAATATCGTGATGGCCTTTTCCACATGAAAATGTTTCGTTACGATATAAAATCTTCTTTTCTCTATTAGAAGGGTAGAGCATATCTGTAAGGAAAAAAAAGTTGATAGATAAACGATAACACAAAAAAGTATGTCACGGGATTTTTTTAATTAACATATTGAAATGTGTTTTGTCAAAAACTAAAAAGAAGCAGAACTTCTTGTGGAATCATATAGTTGAGAAAATACCAAATTTACGACAACAAAGTCAATCAAATGTTTATGTTATCTTTATGAATATCTTTAAAAAATGTTCGTCAAAAATATCATTTTTTTTTTGCAAGTGGAATTTTCTTATTGTATCATGATGTTGAATTACTTCCTACAATGAGAAGATTCGATTTCGATGTAAAGTCAAGAAATTTGTGTAAAACAGCTTATAGACATCCTCTTTTTAGATTAACAATCAAAAAATAATGAAAAAAGTTTCAAACCTTCGTTCATAACAAAAGCTTTAATAAGAAGTTCTCTCTTTCTTTTATTATGGATAACGTATTTTCCTATGATGATTAGTTGACGTCAAACATGTTGCAACACTTACGAGATAAAAGAATTCGATTAGAAGAAACTTTCTGACAACATAGTTGGTGCATATAACAATTGTTAATTGTAATATTGAAAATCGTCTAGTTTTAATAAAAAATGATTTTCTTTTGTGACCATTTCATTTCCATGATGAATGTGTAAAAAATTTTTTAAATACTGTACTCGAAATTTTTCAAAAGAAAATCAAAGAAGACCATTCTTAGTTAGAATTTCTTCAATTTTTACGTTTTATGGACGATAAAATATGCAAAAAGAAATAATTAGTCGAAAGTAGATTCTGTCAAAAAGAGATCAAGTATGATGAATTTAGAATACATTACTTTTCATAAAACAGTCTCAATTAACTTATGTTTTGGAATTATTTCAAGCCACTCATACGAAAAATATACGTTAATCAAATGCTCAATTCTCCATAATAATTTACAAAAAAATCATGTGTTGATTTAAATGTATTATCCAATTTTCCGTTGATATTGAAGAAATATTTTATATTAAAATGCGAAAAACACAAAATATATTGTGATTAATATAGATGGAAGTAGAATAAATCAATAAATAACGTTATTTTCAATTACGACTCTTATCGAATAATATGCGAAAAAAGTAATTTGACGTAAGAAATACATTATCATTAAATAAATATTCTTTCTTTTACCAAAAAAGTTTCTAAAGTAATAAGATAGAACAGAACTGCGTATAAAGAAAAAAAAGAAAGAAATATTCGATTTTCTATATTTTAATAACGTTTATCGAAGAGAATGGCAAGAAATTTCAATAATGGACTTTTTTCTTTATATCGTTAACTAGTAACGCTCGTTGAGGCAGACTCGCTATGCCCTCGACTGAACCACCGACTGAAAATGAAATAGTCTTATGTGCGTTTTATGCTAAAAAAAGACAGAAATATAACCTTCGAAAAGGGTCCGCAGAGACTGACCTTTATTCGCCTCACATTCTTCAAAAGAATCAAAGAACTACTTCTGTTCCTTTTGATTATTCGATATTCCTGACTGACAATCACTGTTCACAAGAAGCCGAAGTTCGCTATAAATGATTATTATGGATTTGCATATTTAAACATGTCCTCCTTTTTCTAAAGGAAACATAAATTTAGTACGACCAAATGAGACTCTGTATATATTTCGCATTCGAACGTGTCGGATTGTTGATACCTTGGTAACTGGCTAGATTACCAGGCATAGCTCGTTGTCCGTCGGCGACACTCACAACTCACCGCTCCAAAGGTATCCCTATCTATCATATAATTACCCGTGTGCTACTAAAAAGTATCGAAAATTAATTAGCATTCCATCAGTATCTCAGGGAAGAGGTTATCTTCCGGGAAAAAAAGCTTGAAGGCCTACGAAAACTTTTTATACATGTACCTACTGTAAAATAAAGTATTACTTTCAATCGTCGATTATTAAGGTGAAAGAAGCAACTTTAAAATGTAAGATCGAAATTGCGTTCACAATGCATTTCACGATTTATCTTTGCACAATTGTCTAGACTTCAATACTAGAGCAAAATCCAAGTAAAAATCTATGTATTTTCATTGATAATTTTATTTTAAAATGAATATTCAAATATGATAATGATAAATGTTTTATAAATAGTTTTCTTAGGGAACAGGACAAACTAAGACATTCACTGAAACCACAATTATGATTGAAAATAGGCAAATGGCCACAAGAGTTTAGAGATGAATATGAAGTTGAATTACATACAACATGATCTAATATAAAGCGACATTGTTCAACAAAGGAACTACCACTATATCCATAGTTACAAGAATTAGTCGGTGTCCACGAAATAGTAGAATAAGCGGCTGAAGATACAGAACCATAGTATGATCGACAAGCGATTAGAGCAGCATTCATGTCAAAATAATCATCATATACTACGCCTTGAAACCAACTTCCATTTGTCTGGAGTACTTCGACGATTAGTGGATTAAATCCTTTAATATTGATTGATTGAACCATTGCTGATGCTATTATAATGAGATAAAAAGAGCAAGGTATTATTCTTTTTCGAATAGTTTCTTCAGTTATCATGAAAGCACAAGAAAACGAAGAAAAGTATTGTCTATGTGTTTAAACGACCTCCTACCTAAGTATCAGGTGTGGATATGAAGAGTAATAGAAACACCCACGCATCACCCTTGATGTAAGGTATAGACGAATTATTTTTGGAAAATAGTCAAATTCTGATGCAAGGTGTTCTACATTGAGTAGAGAACAATAATAATTTAATTTGCTACATACTGATAACTGTTACTGAGGTTGTACAGGTCGACGTTGAAGTTGTCGATGAAGTTGACGATGATGTTGATGACGAAGTTGATGTTGTTCTTGATGTAGTTGAAGTTGAAGTTGACGATGACGAAGTTGTTGATGTTGTTGTTGACGAAGTTGAGGTTGAGGTAGACGATGATGAACTTGATGTTGATGATGACGAAGTTGTTGTAGTCGAGGTTGAGGATGAACTTGACGAGGATGTTGAAGTTGATGAAGATGAAGTTGTCGATGTTGTTGTAGTTGGATCTATATTTATATGAAAAATATTTCCAATTCTTAATAAATTATAGTAATTTCAAAAGTATTTGCCAATCTGTTCCTACTTCTTCCCTACTAAATTATTTTTATGACTGTTGTTTATGGAATATTGAGAAGAAATCTTTGCGGATCGAAGTTCGTAATAAATAATAAAAGAAAATTTCTATCTGATAAATTTTATGCTATATTATAATTAAAATTTACCAGGTGGTATTCGTGTTCCAGAAATGACTATCATAGTAATAGTATCTGCAATTACTTCCAAATTATTGTTTTGATCTATCATAGAATCAAATAATTGACAACTAGAAGTTGATTGATGATAATTAATAGCTTTACATTGTGTTTGCCCTAAACAATTCTTTTGACACTGCACAATATTGGATACAGTGATGGTTGTGTAAGGTAAGCAAGTTGTTGTAGTACATTGAAATTGCCAACCATTCATTATTGTCATTAGAACTGAATTGATATTGTGTGTAAGAATTTGATCAACAACAATTATCGAAAATAATATAAATATTCTTATCCAAATCATATTTAGTCAGAGTTTAAATATCTTCTACCAATGAGTACAACATAATTTAAAATGAATGTCTTTTTCTCTCTATCTCGATGCTTCTTTTTAATAAATAGATTTCTTTTATATTCGCTTCATTGATATACTGGAAACTGTAATCATGCTTTTTCTTTCAACTTTCAATTAACAAATAGAATGTTCAAAACTAATCTAACAATGAACAACGATTAATTTTTTATGAAGAATAAACTCCTAAGTGGGGGAAGTTGCACGTCTTTTTACTGTTGATTTTATCAATAGAAAGAGCAAATAGTGTAATTATAAACATATATTACACATTGAAAAGATTTAACTGAACCAATGCAACAAAAAAAGACATATTTTGTGAAATAATGGTTGATATATAATTGATATAAATATTCTTGGAAATTTATTCGATGTATTTAACGAAATAACGAGAAAATAAAAAAAAATTGTGATTATTTCTCATTTTATTTTCATAACAGAACAAAGCTTTCGTTAATCAAAGAAAGAGTTCATTTACTCTATTTCTTTCGCTTTTAACAAACAAATAATATTAGAAAGGAATTAGAATATCATAGAACGCTATTGTTATTATGTTCACTAACAACTTGTAACTAGAGAATGATTTTAAAATCGTGTACATTAGTTTTTTCTTTATATAATCTGATTTTGATTTGATTCAATTGTGAAATAACAATTTTAGTTTCAAACTCTGAAAGTATTCTGTTTTATAAGAGAAGTTTTTTTTAACTTCTTCTGCGCATATTGTTATTTACTGCAGCGTCAAACGTTTTCTTTACATAATAAAATATGCAAGTGTGGGTATTCATTTACGCGTTGATTTTTTAGTGCAAATCCGTATAAGAATTGAACGGGTGATGTGAATGTTATCCTTTTAACCAGGCCCACACCCACACCCTCACCATTTTCTAGATATTGATAAGATCCGTCATCGAAAAAATGATTATCCAGGTTCGAGCATGCCTGTCGAAAGATATGATTTTTCCGTGAAGTACTTCAATTCTGAGCTTTTCCTATGGTATATTTTAGGATGACGGAATATACTCTTGTATCATTTGAAATACAGTGTGGTCGCAAGATGTTTCACATAATTCGTTAGAGTTTGAAAAGGACGCCATGGATATCATGATCTAAAAGCCATATAATGTGACTGCTGTTGGAAAATTGAACGAAATAAAAAACCTATGAAGATTTTGCTGGCGTTTAATGCCGAAACAGTGCTCAGTTTTTCTCAATTGTAGTTCATGGAGTCTTCTCTTTGTTATGAAAACTGGGAGAATTTTTTCTTAAATGCAGTGTCCGACAATGCATCTGAACACATGAGTTTACATATACAAAACTGACGTCAGCAAGGTCATAGAAGGTCGAAGATTCTCTTATGCGTGCATGATGTTCACAACTGTATTTCTCTGTCTCTTTTGCTGTGAGTTTTGTACATGAGAACATGATCCGAATCTTGTTTTTAAGTTATTTTCATACAGCTCTTTCACAAGTTCGATGAAACAGAACGGTCTCGAAAGAAAGGAAAGACCTGATCGATGGGGTCTAGGCATCAGCAGCCAGTAATCGTGACCGACGAGCAAGGGAGCCCGAAAATACAAGGAAAGATCTCGTCCGCTCGATCTAGCCATACACACAGCGTGTCATGGTCACCGACAAGCAAGAGCGTTAAAAGGAACGAAATAGATTCAGGTAGGCCGGATTCCGAATGAGAAGAGAACGTACTCCGATTTCGAAGCATTTTCTTTGACCTGATGGACTATTTTGCACCTGATACAGCCTCATTCTACGTCATGCTGAATGTGCATGGAGTTTTTGCTGGGAATTACGGATGTTACAATCTAGAGCAGTAATCGGTGTGCGAAAACGAGATACAGCATGTTACAATGTGTCCAGTTACGAGGATTCTCTGCCAGCTGTCTACTCTCCGTATTCTGGCCATAGTAATGAAAATCACACAAGTCGTGTATGCATTTATAAATTAGAAAGTTATAAATAATGGAGTATGAATACGGTTTATTTTATAAGTAAAGTTTTTCAGTCAACTGCGAATTTATATTATAATTATAATTAGGCATATCATGATGTATAGTCATGTTACGCATTCGAATACCAAGAGAAAGAGTCAATTTTGATACTAATATCGACGATTATTTTGTTGTGGTTGAATAGAATTATTTTTCATCGATATAAATTGTTTCATTCAATTCCAATTATTGATTAAACTTTGTCGAAGATCAGGTGCTGTCCAATAGAGAATTAAAAGCATAAATGAAAATGGCGAATTCATTGACATAGCTAAGATTCTTACAGTATTTTTGAGGTAATAAATCAGTACGAATTGCTATTAATATAGCAAAAATAAGCACAGGAAAACCGATAATAATCAGTTGAATATTTAATATAACAATTCGACGTACAATTGTTAAATCTCGTTGCATTTTTAGACGATCATTACCATCGGTTCGTGATGAAACTTCGCGTACATAACGTACTAATAATCGATAAATTATATTTGTAATAATATCTGATAAGAGAAATGATATTGTTGCTAAATAGAAGACTAATGGAAATTTATCTAATGAGATAAAACATAAATTACCTATTGATAATTTTTTCATATTATTAGTCAGAAAAAGTGGTAAAACAAAAATCGAATCAAATAACCATTGAGTAAGAACAAAACATAAAGAATGATGAATCCATGCAATTGTTAAATGATAAAAATAGGCGCGTAACGAACATAAAGGATCAGCGACAGACAATATTTGTTCATCCCATATAAACATATAATATACTGATACTATGTTTACAATTGAATACGGAAAAATGCCTAGAGCACTGTTACAAACTAGAAATGTTGAGAAATTAAAACATCGACGATGATGAGAAAAGTTGATGAAATAAAACAATTGATAATACAGATACATATGTACAATCGATTGATGATAAATGTCGAAACCATTGAATTAGGAAAATTTTCTTTTTGCAGTTTTTATAAAACAAATTAGAAAAACGAGATAGAATGCACTTTGATTTGAGGTAAATATAACTAAATTATTCTTTGAAAATGGGAAGAATATTTTATTTTGCTCTTTCGATATTGAAAACTCAACAAGTTGACACTAATCTCATTCTAGTTATTAAAATGCAGTGAAAAGATAAAAACAGAATTCTTTTTTTTGTTCTAATTACATTAACACATACAGAGAAAAAGACAACAACGTTGACTTCTGGTTTTTGTGTACTCAAAAAGTGAGTACACTATAGAATCGGTCAGTATGTCCGGCCGTCTGTCCGCCCGTTAATCCGATAACTCCTGAAAGAATAATCCAATTTTCATGAAATTTGATACATAGCATTATCTTGTAAATGCCTCGGTCGAGTTCGAAGATGAGCCTGATCGGCTGTACTCTTGCTGACTTTTGATAAAGTTTTCTCTAATTCCTATATGAAAA